CAAGGGAAAGGAGGGTACAAGCCAAACCGGTAAGACTGATGAGGAGTAGTAATGAAATCGGAGAATCTCTAACAACGACCTATAGAACTCATGCAACGGTTTCTCGGCCACGGCACTAAGCCGAAGAGGAAGAGTTCGGAAGGAGGTGGAGATGGGGGTGACGCCAATGAGGAATCCGAGACACCCGAGAATGAGGAGAATGAGGAGGGTGCGATGGAAGGCAAGCATGGAGAGGGAAATAAAGAAGGTGGTGGAAAACCCCACCACAAGCACCATAAGCACGGCACAGGCAAGCATCTATAATTGATGATGTTAGCAGTGGATGATAAATTGGTTATGGTGGATACAGGCAGTGCGGGTGGGGGAAGCGGCCATTCAAGTGGTACGTTTTGCTACCAATGATGATGGGGAGTATGCTTTCCTCAATCTTCGATACAGAATCTAAGGTGGACCTGCTTGCAATCGGGGAACAAGTTACCGCTGTGCGCGGCACCACACCAAGTATATCTAAGACTGCGGAAAATCGGAAAGCTACTGGAGGGGGTCGGGCACGTTTTATCGCATCCAGAGCAGCTCCCAAGAGCGGTGAAGAAGCAGAAGCCGCAGAACGTCAGATGTCTAAATCGGGCGGAGACGATGGTCAGGAAGGTTCAGATTTGAATGCCTCGAGCCAGGAATCCCTTGTTACCGAGGAGGCAGAAGCTTCTGCCGAAGCTCAAAGTGCAGAAAGAGAGCTTCAGGAAGCAGAGGCTTCGCTTGACGATGAACATAAGCTTCTTGCTGCAGAACAGGAGGCGGAAGAAGCAAGGAACGGATTGAAGGCTTGTGCTCAAGGCTCCTTCCTTCGCTGCCGGGAGTCACGTCACGTGAGGCACCGCCGTCCTAGTCGAGGCCGTATTGTTGGTTGAGAGCTACTACCAATAATACACGTTTGCGCCCGACACGATAAAAATCCATCGTGCACATGGCTGCGCAGTGCGCCCTATGTAAAGCACTACATGTAGCCCCGCTACCCGCTCACGAGTTGCTGTCCCTTTCCGTCCTGGAAAGGTCAATTACTCTAAGTGTACATGAGCATTTAGAACTCATCAATCACTAATTATCTACTGCCTATGTATTTGCTTCCGAGATGTGCTGCTGAACCCCAAATACGCTGAGACTCCGCTTACTTACACAGTGACTATTGTACAAAGCACTACAGAGGCACCGAGCTAGACAGGCAATTTTAAGACTGTATTCTGTTCCAGAAGCTTCAGGTGTGAGAAATGAAATAGATGGGTAAGGTTTGTCTTCAAGTTGCTGCAACCGTAGCTTAGTCACGGCTCAGCGCATACTAGCCCCCGCATGTAATTGTTGGAAGCACCATTACAATTTCGACGAGGCCGAAACGGCCTTGTGGGACCTGGTGCTCATGCAGACTGTGCGTTGGGGCCCCTTCTGCGCCCGACGGTTGTCGTGAATCTGCGGTTGTAGAGCTGGCGCTTCTTTGCACGGCCAGTCAAGGCCTTCTTCTTCTCCTGCTTCGCCACCTTGGGGGTTTGGTTTTTGACCTTACCCGCACGGGCGAGAGAGCCGTGAACCTTTCCTGAAGAACAGACATCCAACAAAAGAGGAGGCCATTACAAAAAAGTACAAATAATAGTCCACTGTGCAACCAATACCCCTATGGGGGCTGGGAGGAGAGCAGCGCACCCATCGCAGGAATATATTATCAGATTTTGATGATGCATAGAAACAACGAAAGACCAATAAATGTACAGTGTATCACTGCTCCTCTTAGGCAGGGCTGTAGAATCATGGCGTCTGCAGCGGAGTTTGTGGGGTGCCCACGGCCAGGCTTGTGGTTCGCTCGTGCGATCCAGAGCAAGCGCTTCTCTTGTAGCAAAGTTTCCACAGAGAAAAACTATAGGAGGAGAACGAAACAGCTGACAGGGGATAGCTCTTGCATATAAAAAGGAGCAAAACAGTAGTGGGATTCAGCGGCCATCCCCGGGGGTGCATCGGGCGTCACTCACCCATTTTCGGTTGTAAAAGCCGTGAATACAACGATATGGGAAGCTCGGTATGAAATTCTTTAATATCTAGGAAACAGATGTCTAGACGAACAACAACGACGGAACCCGGCGCGGGCATGCCGCTGCGGCAGCAAACCGCAATCCACAGGGCTGGGTAGCGGCCCCAGCAGAGCACATGAGCTTCGAACGGGGCTTTGCAGGGTGTAGAAATTATAAAGGCAGTATTCATGAACACTCGAGCAATTTGCTTAGGGAGATTTTGCATCAAGTGGCTAGCAAAGAGTTTACCACCGGGCAGGGTACGCGGATTTGAATGGCCCGGCGGGGTCTCGAGAAAAGGCGGCTTGCGGTCGTTCACATGGAAAAATTTCAGGAAGAATCCTCTCTAGCTGCATGATCCTCTGTTCAAGTGAAGAGCTAAGGTGCTGCAGTATGGAGCCCTCAAGAAGGACGAAATTGCAGACTGTTCATTAAATATCTGCTGAAGCGCGTTAATGACTTGCGTCAACTCGCTGCTCCCATTCACCCACGATACGTACTCCCTGATGTGACCAACGGGAGAACTTACACCATGTGGACTTTCTATTCTTCAGATCAAATGTTCATCTGCATTGGGAAGTTGACCGGGTAGGTCTACGGTTTAGGATACAGAGGAGCATGTCGAGGGAAACGTTTTTATCTGAGTTTTCTATAGGGAGATACTTGACTACATATAGAAAAGCACATGCATTATATAGAGTAGTTGAGTTTTTGTCCATCAAGCTCCAGCGTTTTCATACTTGTGCGCCTCAGAATTCACTACGAAGGGGGGGGGAAGCCATCATTTCTGCACGTAGCTGCACTCTCTCTGATATCCCCTAGCATGCACAGTTCCTTGCGTCAACGTTCTGCGCACAGGCACGGAACACAGCGACTTACTGTTTCCCAGCTAGCAGTACTCCGCAATGAATACAACAGGCGAACCGACAAATCACCCAGGCGATTTCAAAATAACTCTTTTTGGAATGGAATCAAAGCAATAAAAAGTCCCGGAGTGTAACTTAGCTTGCTAAAGACAGCATTTTTAAGCTACTGGATTCCACCTGATAAAAAATGCAAGACGCACCGATTTTCAGGTCATGAATTAGCAGCTGCTGTACGCCTCAAAGCAGTTGTCTCCTCGGCAGGAAGCGAACTTTTTGCAGCGTGGTCGGCCGCAAGTTCGGCGCCTGGCTGCTGCGAGTTCTTGTTACAGAACAAAAGCCGTAGACAGCCCAAAGACTGTGCCGGATCGGTTAGAGTAGGCGTTGCTGGCCTTATCGCATCCCGGCATTGCACGAAAGGACGATTAGCAGTGCAGTTTTCCTTGCATATTGTGGGCCAGCATCAAATTTGATTGCTCGCCTCAGCGCCAGGTTAATGCCTTCTGAGATGACGTTGAAACTGCGAGACCGTATGTTAGACGGAAAGAGATGCTCAGCACCTACAGCCTCCCTTACACCTTTAATCGTCTGTGTTTTGCATCACAAAAGGCGTTTCAAGGCAATCTGATTAGGCGGTTGTTTACATGTAAGCCTGTGAGACATTACATTGAGGAAATCTGACAGGCTAAATCTGTTTCGCCGGGTTTATTGCACCAGGAGTAGGCACCGTCTTCTACTGCAGAACAGGGAGGTCTGATGTAGCATGATTGAGCGCAGGAGCTTCAAGACTCGTCAGAATTCTTTAGCGCGAACGATTGCTACAGTCTACTGCAGCAATCATGGGTCAGAGGCGCTGCTAGCGAAACTCCTGAGCGCCTTCCGCGGTTTGAGGGCGGCACATACCTGGGAAGCTACACCTGCGAGTAACTGACTACCCGCGACGTAAGGAGCCAGTGACGCGCGCTCTTCCGCGCAGCGAATAAATGCTTAAGGTTACACCGCAGTAGTAACCTTGATTAGGCCAGCAGATGTGTGTAGGTAGCAGTGCGCTGGTTATGGTTTGTGGCACGCGCGTTTCGGTGCGGTAGAGTGCAGGCAAAGGTGTTACTCAGTAGGGTGAATGCAGCAAGCTTGTTCATCGAAATCGATAATAATAGGGCCGAAAGGCTCTACGTGGCCATTCTGCGAGAGGACGTCTCCATTGAATACGTAGGAAGGGCGTGACACCGACACCCAGCGACGTCCTTTTAGGCCCTAAACGCCAGCAGCAGCAAATTTCGCAGCTCAGAAGAGCAGTGCAGCTGCCAGCAATTTACCCCACAACATCACAACAGCTGCAGTGTCAGTGTGGAGGCTCCTGTGTGGCTGCAGTCCTCCACAGCCGCTGACAAGCGTTGGCGCGAGTACTCCCGGAGCGAGAAGCCAGCGCCCCCCAGCAGCCAAGGAAATCAATAGATATGTCTTCATTTATCTACACTGAATGGTCTGTTTGAAAGAAAGCAGCAGCACGACGAGGAGTCAGTGATTACGCCGCACCATGTGCTGCTCCCTCTGGAAATTCGTAAGGTTCACCTCCGTCTTGACACGAATTCTGTCGCCCTTGCAAACGCGGATCTCCCTGCCGAGCAGCACAAAGTTGGTGTACCAACTGTCACACTGTCCTTCATAGATGGGTCCAAAGAAGCGCCCCTGAAGCACTCACCAAAGCGCGAAAACACGGCAGCAGGTGTGTCTACGCCAGCAGAAAAACTTGAAAGACACGGGGCAGATGCACGATCCACAGACGGTGTAGCAGGGGAAGGAAGGCACCGCGCAAGAGTGCGTAACTCGCGTATCCTGAGAGGGCCCACAGCGCCTGTCTGGGGGGAAAAAGAAAAGCAAACGCCGATCAGGCTGCATAGCAGGGGGCACAGCTGCGTCGAGGTGCAACACAGAAGGGGCCTAGAAAGATCCGAAACAATACACCACAGAGTAGCGACACCAACCCCTCTCCCGCCTTCTTCCCCTCCAAGCCACCCCGCCTTGCCCTATCGACGTCTGCGAAATCAAAGCCGCCTTGCCACACGCACAGGACGAATTTCTACTTCAATAGCCGCTAGAAATCCTGCGAAAAGGCCCTGCCTCTCGACATCGAACATCAAGGTCCGCCTCTGCGCACGGATTTTCACACAATGCGATACACAAACACACAAACATATACACACACTCAAACACACACAAACATATTCACTCAAACACACGCATACAAACACACACATAAACATACACACACACATAAACATACACACACACATACACAAACACACACATACACAAGTATACACAAACACACACAGACAAACATACACAAACATACACACATACACACCCACAAACATACGAACACACACATACACAAACACGCACATACACAAATATACACAAACATACACAAACATATACACACACAAACGTACACGCACACACACATACACACCCACAAACATACGAACACGCACATAAACAAACACGCACATATACATACACTTAAACACACACAAACATATACACACACAAACGTACACGCACACACACATACATACAAACATACATACATAAAGCACTGGCGCCTGGTCTGAAGGCCTTTTCGTTTGGACGCCATTCAATCACGTGTTTGATTGACATGTGCTGCAAGGTTCTGCTGCTAGTTCTGGTAGCCGCGTAGCTACTGGCTTCGAGCCGAGCTTGAAGAGACGGACCTGCAGCATCTGCGTTGCCATCGTGCATTCGAAATGCAGTTCCTCGATGGCTTTCAGCTGAGTGCTGAGCAGCGCCTCACCGAAGCGAAGGCCGACCTGAAACAAAACTAGCCGAAGCAGGAAGTGCTCCCTAAGCTCTGAATTCGGCTGCAGCGTGAGGGAAGGGTGGGCGTTGCGGGGAAAGCAAAGCAGCGGCAATCTCGACATTACGGATTGTAGAAGGCGCTCTCGGGGAGATATGACACTGCGCTCCGGATGCTCGCTTGCCTGAAGACAATCCGAGGTGGCAAGCGGCGCACAAATAAGCGGAAACACATCGAAGGACCTCTACTACTAGGACGCCTCCTCCTCCCTAGATTTTCACGTTGCGTGTGTGTGTGTGTGTGTGTGTGTGTGTGCTACTACGTGAGAAAGTGAAGCCTCAGAGCAGCGCTTTCCCTCTCTCTCTCTTTCACGTCCTCTCTTTTTCTTTCTCTCTTTTTCTTTCGTTCTCTTTCTCTCTTTTTCTTTTTCTTTCTTTCTTTCTCTTTCTCTTTTTTCTCTCTCTCTTAAACCCCGTGGCTAGAACGGTCCCCTCACCTGCCTCTACCAGCGCAGCACCTGCGAAAAGCTGCTCGCAAGGTGTGCCTCCCCACTGTAAGGTGCACGCCTTTGGCCAGGCGTCTGTAAAGTACGCGCTCAAGAGCCATACAGAAGGCTCTAAAGGGCAAGCACTCTACATGCATGCACGCGTATTCGCGAACGCACCGGATACTTGATGCAGCAGGGGGACGGCAGCTCGGAAATGCCAATGAAGGTCCTTGCAGCAAACGGAATGCTCCTCGGAATAGAAGCGCTTCTCTCCTGGATATCCCTAATAACATCAGCCACACCCTCCTGAGAAGCGAAATCGCCAAGTATCTCATGCAGCACCAGGTCGTAGCACTGCTCCTCCGGAAGCTGTGCACTGCCTGTCGGTTTCTCGCTGCCTACGAGGCACGCAGGAAGAACGCCACACCCACCACTGCAGCTCCTGCTGCAGACGGCGCTGCAAGAGCTGCTGGAGTGTGCATGCAGACGGAGGCGCTTCCCACAGCGCTGGCTGACACGTGGACACCCCCCTCGTCTGCGGCTGCTCTCGCTCTTCTTCATCGAACGTCTATCAAGAGACGCAGCCGCGGAAGTGCAAAACGCGGAGGCTTGATCGGCATGCGTCTTTCTCAACTCTAAAAAAGACGTCGCACACATATCCGCGGAGGCAGCTGCCGAGGCTCCCGCTGACGTTGCTACAGCAGACGCATGGTCTAGCGGGATGGACCGCGAAGCAGCAGTAGCAGATGCTTCTGCTTCTTCTTCTGCTTCTGCTGCTGTTGCTATTGCTTCTTCCTCTGCTTCTTCTGCTGCTGTTGCTATTGCTTCTTCCTCTGCTGCTTCTGTTGCTGTTGTTATTGCTTCATCTTCTGCTGCTGCTGTTGCTATTGCTTCTTCCTCTGCTGTTGTTATTGCTTCATCTTCTGCTGCTGCTTCTGCTATTGCTTCTGCGTCTGTTGCTGTTGCTATTGCTTCTGCTTCTGTTGCTGTTGCTTCTGCTTCTGCTTCTGTTGCTGCTATTGCTATTGCTATTGCTTCTGCTGTTGCTGCAGGTGCTTCTGCACCGTCATCGTTGTCTCCGACAAAAGACACCGACGCTATCGCCTTTCTACCTCCGTTATTTTTTCGAAGGGAGCTGCAGGAAGTCGCAGACGGCCCGGCGGCAAGCGCAGGTGCCGTTGCTGCTGTTGCTGCTGCTGCTGCTGTTGCTGTTGCTGCTGCTGCTGCTGCTGCTGCTGCTGCTTCACCGGGTGCAGAACTCTTGCTGACCCTGGGGGCAGAAGAAGAAGTCTGCACGATGGCGGGAGCACCGATGGCAGCGCTTCGTGGTGTCAGCGGGAAAAGCTTTGAGTAGCATCGGAAGACGCGTAGCCGCTGTTGCTGTCGCTGTTGCTGTTGCAGTTGCTGCTCTTGGCCTCCGGAGGCTTGCGGGCGAGAAGAGTTGATACCGATTTGCTGGACGAACGTACTGGCGAACTGATAGACACCTGGATTGAGCTGCAGCAAGAGCAGAAAACAACGGGAGAGGAGGGTGGGGAGGAGGGAGAGGAAGAAGCGGCAGCAGGAGGAGGTGCGAGAGTGCCAGGAGGAAGAGGTGCACGGAGAGCCGGAGTTGCGCTCCGTGGAAAGTGGCAAATTTTCCAGTCGTTTACACGCGTGCAAAACGAACGAAACAGGTGCAGAAGGCGGTATCCGCCTCGACGCGCCTCCTAGAAGCTGCATGCGAAAGGAGGCGACACGCATCGCTTTGCCTGCTCACCTCCAGAGCATCTACACGGGCTGCCCCCTGCTGCACCGCGAGAAGCGAGAGCAGCGCCAGAGGTCCGCAGCCAACTTCCAGCACGTGCAACCCCGAGAGGCTGTCTGACTGCTGCTTCTTCTCCGACTGCGACTCTGACTGTTCAGGGGAGAAGCCTTCCCGAAGGATAGCCTCTTTGTAGAAGCTGACTCGATCTGCATCTTCCAGCATCGCCTGGTTGCACCCAAACACACCGGCAACACACGACGCCAGCCAGCGTCAGGCGGCCACAAATTATTCAAAAGGGCCCTGCCTAATTCCTCCCTCCCTCCCCGCCTTCCCTCCCCTCCTGCCTTGTTGCAGGATTTCTTGCAACGTTTCTGGCATCATGCAGCTATTGCCTGAGGCGCGTTCAGAAAGCTGTCACGAGTGCAGAGCGCCAGATTCGGGGGAAGGAAGGGAGCCCTTAGGTGTGTGGTGTCGCGCCACCGCTCAGCAGGCTGCCTTGTGCAGACTGAAAAATGAACATTGCTGGCGCTTTCACACAGTCATGAAAAAACTGTTCGCGTTCTACTCTGCGATTCATGACCAAAAAGAAGCGCAGGAAATTGACAGGTGCATGCTGCTGCTGTATGGCCCCATGAGACGCTACCATCGAAGCGCGTACAAAGTGATTGGGAATTGCAAACTGTCCGCAAATGGAAGCCGTTGACGGCGGCTCCTTCTGCAAGAGAGACCGCCTCACGGATCTGCCATCTAGTAGGTGTTTCAACTTCTCCTAAGCGCGCAAAACAACACGCAGGAGAGCCAAGGCACACGCCGCAGACTTCCCCCATCAGCAGCCGCACAACGACACAAAGAAGCAGCAACATGAGCAAGAGGTCCACAGGAAAAACTGCGCAACAGCACCACCGGCAAGCAAACGATGCGCAGCAACAGACCGCATAAGAGAGTGAAGAACACCATGCCTTATGGTGAGCATGCGGCACTTCAGCGGCGATTAACTGCCGCGGAGAACCTCTTGTGGCGTCCGCTGCAGCGCTTGCAGCCAGTAGCTTCTGCTCTTCGGCAGCTGCGGCTGCAACAGCCGTCGGATCGTCTGAATGCTCGGAGGCTGCTAGAGGGGGGGATGTGCCTGATGCAGCTTTGGATGCAGTCGTTGATAGAGCTTTCAATGCGGCTTTTGATGATGCAGCTTCTGGTGCAGTCGTTGATACAGCTTTGGATGCAGCTTTTAATGATGCAGTTGTTGATGCAGTCCTTGATACAGCTTTGGATGCAGCTTTGAGTGCAACTTTTGATGCAGTCGTTGATACAGCTTGGGATGCAGCTTTCAATGCAGTTGTTGATGCAGTCCTTGATACAGCTGTTGATGCAGCTCTGAGAGCAGCTTTTGATGCAGTCGTTGATACAGCTTTCGATGTAGCTTTTGATAGAGCGTTTGATACAGCTGTTGATGCAGTCGTTGATGCACCTTTGGATTCAGCTTTTGATGCAGTCGTTGATGCAGCTTTGGATTCAGCTTTTGATGCAGCTGTTGATGTAGCTTTTGATGCAGCTGTGGATGTATTTGCACCAAGTTGCGTGCAAGTGTTGAGACCTGTGAGCTCCTCCTGGTGGTGTACTCGTCGCGCCAAGGCGCATGTGGGAGTGCCAGAGCAAGCGCTGCCACAGAAGCCGCCGCTTTTACATCGGCCGCTGCTGCTGTGCAGCCGAATATAAAATCTCTTTGATTCATCTGCAGCGGGAGTTGCCAGGGACGGTGCGGTCGGGATGTTTAGGGTGGCTGCAGCAGCACCAGCGCTGGGGAGTTTCTCCTGAGAAGGCAACAACAAAAGCGAAGCTAAGATTGGCTTTCCAAAAGCAAGGGCAGCAGGCGGGCGTCCTCGTGCTGCAGCATTAGTGAAGAGACAAGCGAAAGGCGCCACCGCTGCAAAGGCTCGACAGCAAGAGACAGCTGCTGCAACGCCGATTCAAAGAAAGCATTGGGGGGAAAAGTAGCTCCCTACCCCATGCAGACTCGTGCCTGAGCAGCCAGACGAGGCGCAAGCGCATCCAGTGCGTCTGCGCTTCCATCTGCTTCCATCTGCTGCGGCTGCTGCTTCTGCACCTTCTTCCTCTGCCCTCCACGAAGCCCTCGTGGCAGATTCTGTTCTTGCTTGGTCTGGTCGGAACGGCGACGTACTGGTGCAGCTGTGCGGAACGTCATTCCTGAGCTTTCTGCAGCGTGCACCGCTGATTTTGCTCATGACTGTGTGGCAGCCACGCTTTTGCATGCTGCTCCGGCTCCTGTTGTGTTGGGAACTGCCGCGCTTAGGGCTGCTATTGACGTTTCTACGGCTGCTGCAGGGGGGGTTCTCAGGACTGGTGCTCGTGCCGTTCGTGCATTGGCTGTGGAGGGGACAGGTGGTCACCCGTTCCATTGTAGATCTTTCTGTAATGGCGCTGAGCTGCACGAGGAAGGCGCTCACATCTGGCCGTTGCTGCATCCGGCAGCAGTAGCTTGCGCTGCTGGCAGCAACTGCACCTTAAGATTCAATGCAGTACCCCTCTTACCTGAGGAGTTGGTGCCATGCCCTGCGGGAAGCCGACTTCCTTTGGGTGGCGCTGCAGTGGTCGCAGCAGCAGCGGCAGCCTGTCTGAAAGCAGCTTCCCTTGCGGATGGTGTAGCTTTCCCTCCCCCCAGCCGTGGCGCTGAGGAAGAAAGCCATCCAGGCCCTATAGGATGACCACGGATTAAGAAAGCCGAGGTCGCGTAGGCTGCATGCAGACCTGTGCTGAAGCGCATTCTGCGCTCTCCTCGCTGCGTATACAGCCCTCCTACCCCCCCCGCTGCCGCTGTTACTGCGGTTTCTGCTGCGAAATCAGTACCTGCAGCCTATATACTGAGCTTCGCAGGCCCTAATCTACCGGTTTCCCCTTCGTGCCACTCCTAGACAAGCTGTACTACTGCCTGCGCATTGAAGGGCATCCGAGTAGGCTTTCGATGCAGCGCGCTGCTGGCGTTCGAGCCTTAGGGGTCGCCAGCTAATCAAATACAAGCCGCCAACGAGCCCTCTCTCGCTCTTACTGCTTGATTTCGAGGAAGACAGCCTTGCTGCAGCGCAGTCGCCGCTGCAGCAAGGCTGTCTTGCCGTATCTCGCCTCATCATGTCCGTCCAGTCCCCCCCAAGTCAAAAAGCTGCACTGTTTGGCGGCGGCATATTTCACCAGCCACACCCTTTTGTTGAAAGGTTTCCTATTTGAAGACTGCGGCTCGGCTTTCTTCATGACTTTCGTACATACTCTGTCCAGGGAGAGTCCTAGAACCTCCCAGGCAGCAGCAAAAACACCGCCATCCGCAGGGCAGCAACAACTCGCAGCAGCTCCCCAGATGTTTCTTGCTCCCCCTACCACCAAGTCTTGTGCTTTTCGGGTATGTTTGAAGCGAACGTGAATAGAAGTTGCCGCCGCGGAGTCGAGCAGCAGCCGCACAGACAGCGGGGCAGCGCGCGAGCTGCAAGGGGCGCTGCCGACTCTCTTTCTCTTTCTTTCTTCCTTTCTCTCTCTTTCAGAGCTTGCAGCAACGGAAAGCGGCGCCGCCTCCAGTCGTCTTGAGGGGGTCCGCAGCCGAAGCTGCTCCCCCTGCAGCTAAATGGCTGGCTGCGCATTAGCAGCCACGACACAGCGCTGCAACGAAAGCAACAGGGCCCTTCGCCACAGAAGCGTCAGCCTCCAGAAGCGACGGCAGCGCTCAACGCAGCTTGGGCAGCTGCTGCTATTACTTGTCCTCTGTGCATGCGGACAGTGCAAGTGTGCTGCCAGAGAAGAGCAGCGACTCGCTGCCACGGGTTTTCAAGCAAAGGCGCACCCGCAGCAAGAGGAGCAGCGGCTTCCTGAATCCTCTACTGAGTTTACGGAGGATGTGTTTAAAAGCACCCCCACCGGCGCCGCAGCAGAAGCGCGTGTGCCTCAGCCGCTGCCGCACGGAGAGGGCAGCCTGGCAGTAGCGGCTGCAAAAGACACCCAAGAGAGGACGCAAGCGGCATCCGCAGCTGGAGCGCAGCAGCAGCCTTTCCTCCTCCCGAATCACGCTACAGGCGCAGCTGCCCCTTCTCCAATTATCAGCATCGCTGAAATCAGCATAGCGCAGCTAGAGCAAGGGGAGAGGCAGGAGCAGCAACGAGAGCAACAACAGAATCAGCGACAGCAGGAGCAGCGCCTCACGTCATCATGGCTCAGCAATCCAATAGCAGATGTCTTCATTGTTTCTGAAGGGCAGGCTGAAAAGGAGGCTGAGGCGAAACGGGCGGCTTCTGGGGTCGCTTCCGCTTGCGCGAGACGCGGGGAGCATGCAAAGGGATTGCAAAGACAGCAGCTCCAGCAGAGTCTACTTTCCCGGATGCTCCTGAGAGCAAGGCATGCCTCCGTGTCTTCTGCTCGCGAGAAGCGTCATGAGACAGTAGAAGCAGCGAGCCCTACAGCTGCAGCCACACCAGCTGCACGAGCAGCTCCTGCTGGTGCTGAGTTCAACGCAGGCGCAGCAGTGTCAGCATGCGTTCCGTCGGTATCTGGAGTGGAGGGATGCGGAGTGCTCGGCGACAGAGAGCAACAGCTGCAGCAGCTGCAGCTGCAGCAGTCGCAGCTGCAGCAGTCGCAGTTGCAGCAGTCGCAGCAGTTGCAGCTGTCGCAGCAGCTGCACGAGAGGCTCACTGCTGCATGCAGATGGGGAGCTGCTGCAGCCCGCTTTGTGCGAGGGTGCTGCTTCTCGCGATTATCAAACTCCCACCACGCCGCGGTGCATGCAGAAGACGCTGCAGCAGACGCAACGGGAAGCTGCATCTGCATGGCCCCTAAAAGCTTCTCGCTATTAGAGCGAGCTGATTTGCCACAGCCAGGAGACGATGCTGCAGCTTGCATCATTCCTGTAGTTCAGCAGCAGCAGCAGCGTGTGCTGCTGTGCTGCACGAAGAGCATGCCGCCTGCTCATAGCCTGCCTTGGGACGCCTTCCTTGGGCGTGCTGCAGTTGCAGAAACTGCTTCAAAAGATGTTGCGTGCGATGCAGCAGCAGCAGCAGCAGCAGCAGGCATGGCCTTTGATCGAGGCTTTAAGGGAGCAGCAAGACGCTTCGGCAGGCATGCGCAAAGCGGTGTGTCATATCGCGGAAAAACGCAAAAAAAAGGCAGTGCGGCAAAAGCGGCAGCTCGTGGCTCTGCAGATACTGAAGACGCAAGCTTTACTATGGCAGGAGAACGAGGAGGAGCAGCAGCAACAACTGCAGCAACTGCAACTGCAGCAGCAATGAAAAGCGCAAGGGCGACCGCCTGCGTCTCCGTGCCAGCGATGCTTTCGGTGTCTCTGAAGACTGAGGCACCTCACACATCAGACGGAGCGGCGAGGAATGCGTCTGTTGAGTCTTCTGATCTGCGCGGGCATGCTGCAGAGCAGCCAGAGAAACAGAAGAAGCAGCAGCAGCAGGAGAGACAGAAGGAGCAGCAGCAGCAGGAGAGACAGAAGGAGCAGCAGGAGCAAGCACACGAGAAACAGCAACAGCAAGAGCAGCAGCAGCAAGAGCAAGCGTACGAGATACAGGCGCAGCAAAAGCAGCCACAACAAGGGCAGCCGCAACAGCAAGAGCAAGCGTACGAGATACAGGCGCAGCAAAAGCAGCCACAAGAAGGGCAGCAGCAACAGCAAGAGCAAGCATACGAGAGACAGGAGCAGCAAGAGCAGCCGCAGCAGGAGCAGCTGCAGCCATTGGAGCAGTTTCCTAAGGAACTGACTTCTCGATGGGGAGGGAGTATTTTGTCGTGGACGTGGCGTCGCTCCTGCATGCGGCAGCATCAGCCTCCAAAGTCGGAGGCAGCAGCAGCAGCAGCAGAAGCAGCAAGAGCTGCTGCTGCAATTTGCTACAGGCCCCCTGCGCCAACGTCTCTAGCGTTGCAGCTGCTGCTGCTGCTGCTGCCTCACGACATTGCAATGCGCTTGGTCGTGGGTAAGAGTGCTACGCAGTGCAGGCAACATGTCCAGCCGCAGCAAGGGGAGCAGCTTTCTCAGAAGCAGCAGGCTCAGCAGGTCGGCAGCAGAGAGCCGCCTCTTGCCTTCCCCAAGCAGCAAGGAGGGCAAGCGAGCATGCAGGAGAGCTGCTGCGTTTGCCCCCTGTTCAGCAGTGCCATAGACTCCAGCCTTGCGACGTGCAGCATCCGCCTTCTGGATAGCAGCAGCGCATGCGGGGGTTGCTCAGCAGCCACAGAAGCGGAGGATGCTCACCTACGGACGCAGCTGGCAGAAGGCTTGGAGCAGGCAAAATTACAATTCCAGAGGCTGCAGCAACAGCAGCAGGCAACAGAGAAGCCGCGGCACGAGGAGGAGGCGCAGCCTCAATTCTTCCCGCCCCAGAGACATCAGGGATTGAAAAGGGAGATGCATGCCGACGCGCCTTACGGCTTTCCTTTACGACTCCCAGAGATGCCGTCAGAGGGCGCCTCACCGTTGCTTGTTGAGCAGCTGGAGCAGGAAGCGAAGCAGGAGCAGCTGGAGCAGGAAGTGAAGCAGGAGCAGCTGGAGCAGGAAGCGAAGCAGGAGCAGCTGGAGCAGGAAGTGAAGCAGGAGCTGCTGGAGCAGGAAGCGAAGCAGGAGCAGCTGGAGCAGGAAGCGAAGCAGGAGCAGCTGGAGCAGGAAGCGAAGCAGGAGCAGCTGGAGCAGGAAGTGAAGCAGGCGATTCTGGAGAAGGAGAAAGAGAAGGAGGAGAAAGAGAAGGAGGAGAAAGAGAAGGAGGAGCAACAGCAGCATCAGGCTGCGAGCAGCGTCAGGCAGGGCGCTTCTGCAGAGAAAGCAGATCCTGCACTAACAGTTGTTGCCATGTCTTCTGCAGTTGGTGGCTCTCCTGGAAATCCTCGATTGCATGGAAGAGGCTTTGTGAGAGGCGAGGAGCTGCCTGCTGCATTTCTGCGTCTGCACTTCAACTTTGCCTCGTTGGATGCGGGAGCGAGAATCATTGCATCAAGTTCAGGAACGCAGCACATAAAGGCGGTGCAGGTGAGTTGGAGACATGCCCTTGCCTACCCCTCCTTCTGCATGCAGGTGCATTGCCTGCTGGGTGTGACACTGCGGAAAGAAGCCGCCACAATTGCTGCACGTGACGCTGGGGGAGTCGCAACCCACCGACGTTTGTGTGCCTCTCCTTGAAATCGCTTTTGGCTGCCAAGCGCTTAGTGTGCAGACACCTGCGCTTGCAGGCTTGCATCCTCGAATGGCATTTGCAAGCAGGCCGCTTGCGACTGTGAGGTGTAAACGCAGCTTCTGTGTTTTGTGAGCCATCGTTTTTTGCTTGTCTCGCGCAGCGTGCAAAGGTTTCACACAATTTTCGTGGATTGGTGTCTCTATGTCGCTGTGCGAAGCTCTGTCTGTTGGGGGTGTTGCAGCGTCCAGATGCAGACACCTACATGTTGGTGCCATGCTCTGTCGTGCCCAAGTACTTTGTGCTTTCTTTCTCCGAGACTCTAAAGATTGACTACGTGGCGGTGCAGTCCTTCGAAATATACGCGAATGCTTTCTGGCATATCCAGCTCCTAGGGTGCGCTGCGCTTTCCTTTTATACTCTGTCCCTTAAAGCCCGCATGCACATGGGAGAGGGAGAGAAAGAGGGAGAGAAAGAGGGAGAGAAAGAGGGAGAGAAAGAGGGAGAAAAAGAGGGAGAAAAAGAGGGAGAGAAAGAGGCACTGTGTTTCTTCTTTTGCAGAAAGCAATACACTGTTTTCTACGTTCTTCTGATGCGTAGATGTCTTGGCATGTTGCTCATGTTTAGCGCTCGATTTTCCTCTGAATATTCTTGGAGTGTGACTCACAGCCTCTTCCGCAGAGGACGTGATTGCAGCTGGCCATGCCGTGCCTCTGGGGAGTGCGGTATCTGCATGCGAAAAAACTTTTGCTGCTGCTGCTGCGTCTGCCTCTACGTGTGAGAAAGAGAGTTGCTCTTCTGCGCTCGCCTTGCTCTCTCTCTCTCCGTGGATCAGAGGCTTCCATTTTAAAAAGAGAATAGACGCATTGTGGTAGACGACACTCAGCGCCTTAACGCTGCCCCTCACGCGTGTGCCACTGCTGTTTCAGCGCCGACAGCTACCCCACACGGCAGTGGCGTCTCTTGGCTAATTTGCAAACTGCAGCCGACGTCTCCTCCGAGCTTTTCAACGTCAAAGCCGAATGCGCTGCTCTTGGCAGCTGCTGGACTAAGTCCGTCTGCTCTATTTGCATTCGCTCTGCATGCCGATTGTAGTCGCTGCTTTCTGCCCTTGAGACATCCCTCCACTTCCCTCTCCCTGCTCTTTTCCTCCCTGATGGCTTCAGAGAGGAGCATTGGCTGTCTCGTCGCAAACATCGAGCGCCTGCGCCGAGCCCTTCCCCCCATCCCCGCTGAGCGCTCTCTGTCTCTTGGGGGTGCTTCTGCCCAAAAGAACTCGCATCTCTGCACACAACGCATGCTTTCTCCTCTCAGATTCTTGAAAGTACGACTGCTGACACACCATGACGAAGGCTCCCATTATTACTGCTCTCTAACGTCTTTCCAGGTCGGCGAGACAACCGAGCGTCTGCATGCCGCAGTCTGTCTCTTCTTCCTGGGATTTCACCCCTACCTGAAGCACTGCTGTCTGTTGCACGCGCGTGCCTCCTGCAATCCCTCTAGCAGGCAGCGGTCCTTGGTGCTCTCCCTTCACACTTTCTCGGCATGCTCCAAGCAGTCACCCCTTTTTCCGTCTTCACAATGCTGCAAAAATTCTGCGACTGCAGCAGACAGCGGCTTCTGGCCTCCACAGCATGCCTTGTACTAGGGGTCGCACCACTTGCACCAGCACCTCCATGTGTGTATGCGTATATGTGTCTACGTATGCTCTTGTGTATGTTTATGTATGTATATTTGTAGGCATGTATGTGCATATTTGTATGTATGTATGTGTATATTTGTATGGATATTTGTATGCATGTATGCGCATATTTGTATGTATGTATGTGTATATTTGTATGTATATTTGTATGGATATTTGTAGGCATGTATGTGCATATTTGTATGTATGTATGTGTATATTTGTATGGATATTTGTATGCATGTATGCGCATATTTGTATGTATGTATGTGTATATTTGTATGGATATTTGTATGGATATTTGTAGGCATGTATGTGCATATTTGTATGTATGTATGTGTATATTTGTATGTATAGTTGTATTTATGTATGTGTATATTAGTATGTATAGTTGTATGTATGTATGTATGTAAATGCATATGTATGTGTGCATATTTCTATATATATATACATATGTATGCGCTTATGTATACGTACATGTATGTATGTATATATATATATATGTGTATGTGTGTATGTATATCTGTATCTGTATATCTGCTGTTTCAATGGGCTTTTAGGTGTTTGGAGCGACAGGCGTGCAGTTTCTAGAAACGCAGATCCTCGATGAACGTGTCAGCAGCAGCGGCAGGGTGATGGGAGCTGAAGCGGAGTCTGTCGAAGAAGGAACTGCGGCAGATGTTTCTGCAGCCGACTCAGCGTCTGCAAGTGCTGGTGCTGCTGAGGCTGCCGCTGATCCTACTAGAGACATGTATTCAGCCGGCACGCAAGGCGTTGCTTTCCAGTCAACACAGACTGCAGTGCCGACATCGCCAGTGACTTCGGAGCAGCAACATGCCATGAAGCAAGCGGCTCTCGCGGAGAACCTTACCCTGGAGCAGCGGCAGGCAGTAACTCGGCCTGCTTCCGGAGAAGAAGGCGATGCTGTCAAGACACCCCACCAGCAGCAAGCTGTGGTGCAGAGCCTTCCCAGCCTTGGGGGGGAGCGACTGTCCGTCGACGGTTCTTTCAGAGATGCAGGAAATTCCACTGCGCAAAGCTGGCAAAGCAGCAACTCGAGTGTGAACGGAGTCGAGACACCAGGAGAGCAATCCAAGTTGCGGCAAAAAGGTCAAGGCTACGGCATCGTCTCAGAAACGAGCCGTGTGCTCCCCAGTGGAGATGCAGTCGGAGGAGCAGACTTCGCCGCAGCTCCTGAGTATAATGTGCTCGACGCGCCCCCCCAGAAACAGGTGCACCAGCAACCAAGGAAGCAACAGCAACAGCAAGCAATGCAGCAACAACAACAGCAACCAAAGCAGCCGCCACAACAGCAGCCAACGCATCAACAGCAACAGCAACCAAGGCAGCAGATCCTCTCTGCTGCCGACAAGCCTGAGCACGCAGAGCCTGCGGCTTTTAGTGCGCTTTCTGCAGCGCTGGAAATGGTCTTGCAGCAGCGGCAAAATCTCCTGTTGCAGCAGGGGGAGGAGCATGCGCCGCAGCAGGAAATTCGGGCAGGCGAGACGGCGTGGATTGAGGCTAACGGTCCAGTTGGCGTCTCTTCTGGAGCTCAGGAGCTCAATCTCGGGAGTCTAGAGGAGTCTGTTGCATGCACTGCAAGCAGCAGCAGCAACGCGAGAAGCGGCTGGCATGGCCATGATCAGCCGCTCGCGGATCCCACCACGAGCCGCTACGTTTGCATGCCGCTAGCGGGAGCAGCAGCAACGGCGGCAGCAGCAGCTGCCGTTGTTGCTGCTCGCCCCTTGTTGGGGAGCAGTTCGTCTCCTGCGAGGCACTGGGTGGCTGCAGATGCGCGGAAGAGCTCCAGCCTCAAGCCTCTTCACGCCGCCGAGGCTTCCGCAGAGGCTCTCCAGCAGACAGCTGCGCATGCGCGAGCTTTCCTCCTGGATATGCTGCAGCATCAGCGTCAGCCAGGGGGACGTTCGATCGGCGCGGCTTTCCTGCGCTTCCTCATGACGGCTTCTCCGGGGAGTCTGGAGCAGCAGGCAGAGACACTCCATGTGCTCTCGCTGCTTCTGCAGCCCCCTGCGATGGATGCACAGAGTAGGTTGCGTGCGTGCTGGAGAGCAGCAGAAGGCGGAGGAAGCACGCACGGGGGAGAGCAGACGGAGAGGGCCAGGCTTTCGGCTTGCGCTAGCTGCACTGCTGCATCCAAGCGAGAGGCTTCAGAAGGGGCAAGCGCACGCGCAGTGGGCTGTGGCGAGGAGCGTTTAGCTGGATGCGCATGTTCATGCATGGGTGCTGTGGAGAAGAATCGGATGGCGCACACACGACTCCTTTGAGAGACTGCTGCTTCTTTTTGCTGCCTTCACTGCGCTTCGGCTGCAGGTGCTGTGAATGGAGTCGCTGGAGAGTCGGTCGGAGGCGGGGAGGCAATGGCTTCAGCCTCAGGCTCTCGCGATAGCAAGGGAGAACACGTGCTAGTTACGCTTTTGGAGAGGATGAAGTCTTTGGAGGGAGAAACAGCGACATTCAAGGCTGCGTGCGTGGAGTGTAGGGTTGTGTTGCTTGCCGGGGGGAGGGGAGATGAGAGCAGAGAGAGGGGGAGATGAGAGCAGAGAGAGGGGGAGATGAGGGTCAGGAATAGATGGATTCTGTTGCTTGGCGTATTGGGCTTGTTCAGAGTTATAGGTTCTGCTTCAGAAGTAGCTTTAGCAGCTGCGCTTTGCATGCTTGCTTCGCGTGCGGCGTATACCAGGCTGCAGCGCCGCTAGCCAGCTAGCTGGCTAGCTAGCTCGCGGAGCTTTTTGGAGGCGGTGTGCGATCTTCCGGTGCTTCTTTTGTTGGGGAGGGGTGTACGCCTCCGTACGTCAAACTGCATGCTTGACAGCCTCTTGGGAAGTGATTGGTGCGCGTATTTTTTGTACAGGGCAGCTGAGAGACAACAGCAGGTGCAGCTCCAGCAGCAGCAGTTGCTGCAACTCACACTTCTCCTGCAGCTGCAGCAGCAGCTGGGCTCCTTTCTGGTAAAGCATATTGTCGCTCTGTGCGCTGGCAGCTGGCGTTGTTGTTGCTGTTTGTGCTGCTGCTTTTCCTGCTGCTTCGCTGAAGATGGCGGCGTTGTTCAGGTGTATGTACAGATGTGTGTGTGTTCGGCCTGCGGCTTGTGACGGGAGTGGAGCCTCTGCTTCTGGACGGGCTGTCTGTGTCTTTTTTGTGGTTGGGGATGCCGATTTTCAGTTCGAGCGTCTGTCTGCTTTTGACGAGCTTATTCCGCATCTGAGTCCGCTCATACAGCTGCTAGACGACTCCGAGAAAGCCGCAACAGCGGCTCGAGAGGACGCGCTGCTGCGCAGCAAAAGCAGCAGCAGCAGTCGCCACACAGCCGGAGAGAAGGATCTGGATCCTGCCTGCCGCTTGCTGCACGACGGCAGCAGCAGCAGCCTGCCTAGAAGCCTCTACTCGGATTTGCATCAACAGCAGTACTGCCGTTTTGCGAGAGCTCCTCCGCAGGCACGATGGTCGTGGACGGAGTTATTTGAGTTTGTGCACCACCTGCTGCAGCCTCTTGAGTGGATAGGACGCCACACCGTGCTGCCCCTTGCGCAGTTGGCGAAGGATGCTGCCTCCGTTGCTCTGCATGCAGCAGAGGTGCTGCAACGCTCCTTGTGCAGCGAGGATGCGGGAGCATTCCTGCTGCTGCAACGCAGCTGTGCAGCAGTCTCGAGAATTAGCCACGCGATTTCCTCTTTCGCGGCAGCAGCAGCGTCTGCAGCAGGCACTGCAACCACCCTCTCGTGGAGGACGCTTTCTAATGCGACTTCCCTTGCAGCAGGAGCTTGGATTCGCATGTCTACCACCATACGTCAAGCGCACGTACTTTCATCTTACGAAGGGCCTGGTAGCAGCAGCACCGGCAGCGCGTTCGGACAGAAATCGACGCTGTTTCAAGAAGATCGGGGAGGCATGCAGCCCTTGATGGACGCCTCCACTGCTGCATTTCTTCTCTTGATCGTGTTTTTCCTCCTAGCATGCGGGGGAGTGCTCTTTTGGCGGTTACGTCACGGACAGAGGGTTGCTGCTGCGGCTGCGGGGGAATGCGCGCTGCTTCGCCGTTCCTTCGAGATGCTGCAGCAACAGCACCGGGTTCTTGTGGAGCAGCTGCAGCGGTGTGAGAGAGAGCAGCAGTTGTTGTTGCTGCTGACAGCGCTGCACCCCAGCAGCAAATCCTCGAGGTCGCATATGTGCCGCACCAAAGCGACGGGAGATGCTCGTGAGAAAGCGGATCCGCAGCAGCAGCAGCAGCACCAACAGCTCAAGGCGCAGCATCAGCCTCAGCATTCTCCTGCCACAGCTGGCAAGCGGGATTCCCCCGCAGACGCAAACTGCGCTGCAGCCGAGCAGCAACCGTCGGCACAAGCGACTCCGTCGGGAAGAGACGCAAAATACTCTCCTTCTGAAAGTGTACTGACAGAGCAAGCCGCAGCGGAAAGCACAGGATTCACACCGTCGCTGCTGCGACGGCTCTCTACCTCCTTGACTCCTAGGGTGTTTCGTGGGCTTTCCCGCAATAGCGTCGCAACAAGCGATTTCTCCGTTGTTGGTGCACCGACGTGCTCCAAGGGTAGCAACAGCTCGAGCCTAGGTGATGCACACGCTGCTGCTTCTCAGTGGCTTCCACGAGACTTGAACAAGACGTCCCCTGAACAAGATCAGCAAGCCTTGCAGCACCGCGAGAATTCAAGTGGCTCGCAGCTGCCTCCTCAGCAGGAGCCGCAACTGCACAGTTCTGCAGCAGCGCTGCTGCCAGCGCTCGACACGAAGTCTATCAGGAGTCTCAAGCTGCAACGCCATACCTTGAGGCAGCATCGGCGAGTCGGAGGCGCTTCTACCCCGATGGCTTCTCACCCTTCTGGCTCTACTGCGGACGCAGATGTCTTCCTGCTTTCTGACGCGCTTGACAGATCCGAGGAATTAGTGCGCATGCAAGATGGATCGGGTGCAGCAATTGCTGTAGACACTGCAATTGCTGCCACGCCGTCCATGGCGCCGTCCTGCAGCAGCAGCAGAAGCAGCAGTGCCTGCAGTACTAGCGGCAGCCGTCTGCAGACTCGTAGGGCTTCCTTTTTCAAGTCTCTTCTGAAATCGCAGCTGTCGATACGTGGCAGCTCACATCCTGTTTATCTGCTGCTGCAATCGACGCATCGGCAAGGGACCTCGCGCGCTGCAGAGACGGATTTCCCCCCTCTTGATCCGGATGATGCAATGATGTGTAGCAACAGCAGCAGTGGCAGCGGGGGCTTGACTCAGCAATGCCCACTAGCTTCCTCGGCATCTGCACCCCTCAGGAGGCACCAGAGCCGCAGCGTGTCTCGATGCAAGTGTTTTTCGCCGTCAAAACGCGCGGCTGGAGAGGCGGGCATGCCACACGAAGGAGCAACAGAGGTTTTCGACGGAGCGCAGGCTGTTGGCAGCACAGATCACAACGGCACTGGCCTTACTGTGGATAGACGAGACAGCAGCAATGGTAGCGGGTTCGCCGATGAACGCTCTGCTCAGGGGCTCTCTGACGGGCAGTCTGGTAGGCAGCACGACGGCGCGCGAGTTGAAGACGGCGTTCATACAGCCGTGGGGACGTCTCACGCAGCGCTGCCTCTCGTGCAGGCCCTTGATGGACGCGTTACGAAAGTTGCGAATGCCGCAAGGGGCGCAATGAGCTCACCAAGATGCCTAGTAGAGGCAGAATCGCAACCTGGAGGCACCAGTTTTAGTCGAATAAGGACACCCTCAACTGCCGTCCAAGAGGGTCGCCAAGAGAGAGGCACCGCTGACCAAGCGAGCATTCCTTCTGCTGAAATCTTTCTCCTACAGTCCAATCGGCAGCAGGACCATGATGACGGTGTAACCACGGTGAGACGCGATGGACGGCGACGCCGGAAGAAGCGTGGAGTTTCCGGAATGGGCAGGGGTTACATGTGCCATTAATTGTGTTGCAGAGCAAGCCGGCCGCCTGTCTGACGAGCTGTCTAGCTAGCTAGCATATACTTCAGGGAACATTGGATAATTCAATATTTTTTGCGTCTTTCAATTCTCTACTCATGTTTACAGAGCCCTGAGTCCCCAATAATCCGGGGATTTTCCCATTTAATTCATGAATGGCAGAGGTTGTATGATACCACCTGTGACAGCCGTACAACGAATTTCAGGAGGCTGCATTAGCACGGCACTGAGAGCGCCATTAATTATTTGTAAGGTAGCGTTCGAAAGCCCCAGGGGCGGACCAGCAAAAACTGCCGAGGCTTCCCACCGTAGTCTGAGAGGCCTGTGAAAAAAGATCGCGGAATACTGCTACTTTTGAATCGGCACAAGGTATGATGTGGAGACTGTGACCCCGCATATTCTTCGGCATCTGGCAGGGATACATGGTATGGCATTCAGGGGACGCATTTCGTGCCATGCGCGGTTTTGTGCCTCATGCGTTATTTTATCTACGTAGATCCTGCAATATCGTGAGCAGACATAGGAGTATTTAGTTCATTTATCGTATTCTTCAAGTTGGGATAAAACAATAGGGGGTCTTCCGAGGCGCGACGTTGTGATGAGCTGACACTAACACGCCCCCTTCCCCTGCCCGACGGTGCAGAAAGCGAACTTTGTGACCCCTGAGACCGACAGCCCTGCAGGCTCTGACACAGAGAGGAGGCCGTGCAAGCACGACATATTGAATCTTGCTTTGTCTTTAGAGCGCAAGGTATGCGCACAAAGCAGCAGCTACTCTTAGCATGCCCCCCAAGTGCGTCACTTTCAGCAGACAAGATCACTTCATTGGAGGCACCTCACAATCCCTTTCATTCAGATCAGTCACTTCTGTGCGTCCAAAAGAAGTGCACAGGCATAAATACAGCTCCCTTGGGGCCCTGTTATCAAGAAGCTTGCGGAATTTACCGCCAAGCATCAAGCGTTCCCCACACAACCCTGCACTTGACCGCAAATCCTTGAAGTGCAACCGAAAACGACATACGAAGAAAAGGAGGTCGCAGAGGAGAAGTGTGCTGTGCGCCTTCACAGATCATAGCCGTGGAGGGTAAAGCTACATACACACCCTAGAAAAGTCACCCCCAGCGTCTCGCGGTTGGGGTCTATTACACACTGCTGATGCCTTCAAAATCTGGCAAATGTCATGAAACCTTGTTTCAGTGGCTCCGATCGAGGCTTCCACGGGGCTGATGCATACGACACAGTGTTCTCTGTCCCAGTGCGCGGTCGGAGGGCTCTTGCTCTCTGACTAGTGGATGAACTGTTCAGAAATTTAAAAAAGAAGCATGTGTTCATGTAAAAGGTGGTTGCCGCTAGCGGGCATCAGCGAAAGCAGTGAATCCTCTCATGTTCCCTGGGATGGTAGTCGGCCCCACCCCCCAGACTCGCCAGACAGCACTGGCCTGCCAGACTGCTTGATCCTGAGCGGCCACCCATCATGAAGTCTAGCGCTGCCGCAGCGGCACTTCCCGTGGTACCATGGGCAACCCGTGTTGTGGCAGCTGCTCTGAGTTGCGTTGTATTGCCTCTCCTATCGCGCCGAGTCAGTTCAGCGACATCTGCGGAACTTGTAGTCTGTCTGTTGCAGTTACCGCTGCTGCAGCAGCTCATTTCTTTTACTTCTCGCGAGGGCGTTGCTCGAGCAGCAGCTCGCTGCAGCGTAGCGCCTGAAACCAGCGCAATCAAGCACCGAACGCCCTCCCCTGCAGAGCAGGAGAAACGCAGGCAGAGCGCGTTCAATCTGTCCTATATATTGTTCGGTGCATGCTGCTTTGCATTCTTACTCCTTATGCCCGTGTGGATCATCTTTTTGCCGCCAGAACTGAACGATTCAAGAAGCAGGCTTCAGTCTGAGATCGATGCCTACCGTCTTGCCGCCACAGCCTTTGGCGTAGCAGGTCTGCTCGATGCAGCAGCAGAGATTCTCTCACTGCGTTGTTTGATGCTTCGTGCTCTGGGGGCCCGAGGTGTAGCAGAAGGAGCAGCAGCAACGGCGCGGTCTGTCCTGCTAGGCGGTGCGCTGTCGCTACAGCAAGCGGTTCGAACGCGTATGCCAACAGATGCAGCAGACAACCTGCTTCTAAACCCAATGCTGGCGTTTGGAGCAGCTCAGTTCTGCGCATCATCTCTCTTTCTGCTGCTCCTGTGGTATCAGTGCCACTGCATCCTTTCAACAGAGCCTGCAACTGAAGCAAGCACACCAGCAGCAGGCGCTTCCACGACCCTCTGCCCCTCCCAGCTGTTTTTCACCGTCTGGCCGCCCCTTCGGACGCTTCCTTGCTCCTCTGGCTGCGCTTCTGGACCTCTTTTGGGGGAAACAACAACGGAAGTGCCTGCGCGCCAAGCAACGCATGCAGAGGAAGCAAGCTGGTGGACGGCCAGGGCTGCCGCGGCAACGCGCGCATCGCCAGGAAACTTCATCGTCGTTGCAGCCTTCCAGTGGACCTTCGGTCGGTTTCTCTCAGCTGAACACTTGCGCTTACTGCCCACCTTCATACTCCTACTGACACAAAAGCTGGTACTGCAACACGGGGAGCAGCTGCTGCTGCTTTTGCTCCTGGATGCATCGGCAGGCGCAGAGTATGCCTTGGTTTCAGGAGCAGCCTCGGTATTGTGCCGAGTCATCTTGTCGCCCTCAGAAGCAGCCGCGTTCGAAGCCTTTTGCGCCTTGCAGATGCAGCCCGGCGAGAATGCGGCAGCTGTTGCTGCAGAAGGCGCTTGTGGTGTATCTACAGCACCACCTAAAAATTGTGGTGGCGCCTCTGCAGATATCGATCCTCATGCGAGTATTCCACGGAATAGATATTCCCCGCACATTTTGAAACAACGACAGGTGCACCTCAGTCACGCTACTCACCAGCCCGCAAAAATGCTGATGCAGAAGCAGGAAAGCCAGCAGCAGCTACAGGAGCATCCTGAAGAAGATACGATCCTCGGTGTCAGTGGAAGACGCAATCAAAACTTTGAAAATGACACTGCTGACGGCAACATCCCTAGCGGCCGTGTTGCACGCACGCTAATTTGCCAGTCTCCTAAGGGACTACTTGGCAGCCAACAACATTTCAGGCAACAAGTCAGCGCGGCTTTCCCAGCGCTGTCGCTGCTACACCTGCTACTCCAGCTGCATGGGACTGTGGGGTTGGCTGCTGCAGCCGGCGGGTGTCTTTTCGCTGCTCCGGCGCTGCTTTGTATCTTTGGTCCTTCTACAGTCGCCCCTGGAAGTGGTTGCACACAGGCATTGCAGGTGTAAGCAGACGCAATGCACTACTAGAGCAACGTGTGTATGTTTTGCACGTAGCTGCACGTCGGCTCATTATTTCCGCTTTTGGGCTGCATGGGGGGCGCCCACTCTGATTTCCTGATGCGCATGCATGCAGATACTGCTGCTATGTCTGTTGCCTCTCATTTTTTGGTCTGCTGGACGCGTTCACATCAGCAACGGGTAGCGCCGACAGCATGGCGATGCTCCAGCGCTACTACGGAGCTGTAACTGCTGTACACCTAGTGATTTTGTTGCCGCTCTGCATCCGCTTTTCTGCTGTAAGATCCGAGGGTACAGCAGTCCCTTAGAGGCACATTTACAGGACGATTGTGCTGCTGAACAGCTCTATGATGCCTGACTATCCATCCTTGTGCTGCTGTTTGGCATGAATTTTGCGTTTCAGGATTTAGGAGTAGCGACAGCAGCAGGAGCATCAGCAGCGCAGCTTGTAGCGGCGATCCTCCGTATCGGCTGTTGCTGCATTTGCATTTCTTCTGACTTGCGTCAAGCCTCTCAACAGCGCCACATGCAGCAGAGACATCCCAGCCAAATTCATGCTTCAGATGCACAGCGCGGGCCAGTGGAAGAGCAGATCTACAGTGGGGGTGGAATTATCCAAGGTAGCACTGCTACCACTAACCTCAGTGCCTCTGCTAGCTCATCATTCGCAGCTGCTTCTACACCCACATGTGGGAAGAAAGAAGCCTTTTTTTCGTTCGATGGATTAGGTGTAGCTCTTCGCGCAATAATACCCTCCGGTGGAGGGGCACTGCTATTGCTGTATGGGTGTTTTTTTTCTGCTACTGCCGCTATTCAAGTTGTTCTTCGTGCATCAGCCTTTAATTCTTCACCAGAGGAAACCACAGTAGCAGAATACGCCTCGCAGCGCGTGATGCTATGGGGAATAAATGCACCGCTATGGGCTGCAGAGATAGCACTAGGTCTCTGCACCTGTGTCGCAGCCGCTATCACTGTAGGGCCTCTGCTGTTGCAACGCGTGCGAGCAGCATACTGCATAGCAGCCTCTGCTGTGAGATGAGAGCATCTCGGATGCAACAGTTCACCACCAGTTTTGCGCTCCGCCCACCACGACACGAAGGAGGCCCGGTGCTTGTCTAGAGACCAAGCACATGTTGCCTACACCCAAAAGTAGCAAATTGGGGGGGAAACTACTTCGGCTCCAAAGAAGCTCTGCGAGAGCATGCTAGCAGACAGTTGCTTGTTTCTCTGTGCTTTCGTTTAGTATGTCGCGCAGTTTTTAACTCACTTAATCCGTACTCATGAGTGCTTTTTTTAGAAGTAATACGGTGTGGAAGGGAATATCGTGCAACCGTCTCATGAGGGAAAAAGCTTTCCACCATCATTTCACAAATGGCAGCAATATCGCTGCCCGGCCTCCCAGCGAAGAACCAGGTTTTTGTCCTTGTTACCTTTGCTTTTTTATTGGGCGGTGTGGTGGGGTAGCTGAGAGTTTCTTGTAGTTTATAGAGACTAGCTGTGTACGCTGCTCAACCTTGTTGATCTGTATTGTAGCTGGTGATCCCCGCGACCCCATTCGTCAAGCGGCGTTTGGTTTTGAACAGGAGTATACTGGACATGGATGTATGTTCGTGAAGCGAATACAGAAGTGGTTCTTGCACGTGTCTTTCTGAAAGTGGTTTTTCAACTTGCTGGCTGCCATCCTGGAATAGTTGTCGCTGAGTGCATGCAATATTTCTGACTGAAAAAAAGTACGCGGACTCCTTTTGAGCTTTCCTCCGACTTGAGGAAACCATGTAACCTACTTTCTGCACGCTTCAGTGCTGTGCTCTTGAAGCTTTGAAGTAGAGTATAGGCATCAAGTAGCAAACACATCAACTCGTCGCAAAGGATGCGCTCAAAGCTGTCCCTTTGTCTCATGAGTTTATGCGGCTCCTAGAGAGCAGACAATGTAGAATTGGGGTGGAATATTTTCGCAGGCAAATGCAGCATAAGTGTACACTAGTTTTGTGTATGATCCCCTTCTAGATTTCACTGAACATAAGGAATGCAATGGCATGCATTTCAAAGAGGGTTGATCCTTTCTCATTATCAACAACTACATTCGACGCAACTACCATTGGATAGAATGTGAATGTTAGAGGATCATTCTTCGCGAAACATCCAGCGGCTTATTATTGGAGGGAAGATCAGCATTCTCTTTACCTGCTTCCCTGAGGATTTCCGCTCAACTGGCATAATTTAACGAATGCGTGCGAGCTACGATTATCTAATGCTATCTCTTCAATCCTCGCATGCAGGAAGATATTCTTGTGCATTTGAGGCAATAGAGTGCTACGCTGTGCTTCTCTTTGTAAAAGCGCAGCCCTGTGGTCTAAGGCCTTTCAACCTGTGGGGTACAACTGTCTGTATTTCTTCTGGGCTACGCGGTAGGACAATATACGCGTGGCGATGGAGGCTAGGTTGCTCACAAAACTTGCGGTCTATTCACAAGGTGTTTTCCCCACTCCCATGTATCCCGCTCCGCGAATACACTTTGCGGAGCCCTTTCTGCGATGCAATTGTATCCCGCTCATCCACTGGCTGTCGATGCTGTGGTCTCAACTTTCCCTAGAAGCAGTTGCTTCGTTGGTTTTAATTGCGTCACTTCACACTCGAATAATTTGAGTTTCCCTGGCAACACGCTACAAATAAAACACTCCAGCGATGGAAGTACAAGGTGGCACAACGCCTGTTAGGGCAGCAGAGCCCCGCTTGCAAGCTCACGTGAATGCAGTCGCTATACAGCTGCGGGAAGTATAAGCGATCAGAAGATGAAATGTTCATGGATGCATCGCTGCGCTTACTACGACCACAAAAGTAGGACGGCCGTGGGGGTGGCAAGTACTCGAAATTTTGTTAACCGATTGAAGATGTATTTTGCTGAGTACCATCCAGAGAGAGAAACGAGTGCCTTCTGCTGCTGGTTTATTGGAGGAGGAATCACTTTAATTGTAGCCATATGAGTGTAGAGGGAGTTTTCTGCTTGAAAAACTTACTACACCTGATCCCTCTTACAAACCCTGACTAAAAGCTTCATGCCGAAATAGGCTAATTCAGCAGCTTTGAAAAAATCGATAAGACTAAAAAAAGGACATTTTCTCAGTAGATAATGTTGGTATAAATGACTTCATATCGTCCGAAGAGAGTATTGTCCTCTGCGTGAGTCTCGGGTGAAGAGGCTCAGTTTGGCTTGTGGGGAACAGCGCTGGCGTTCTCGTTTTTCAAGAGCGGTGAATCGGAAACTTCGATTCGTAAAAGCCACAGCGTACACAAATAATTGCTGTGCCACTGGCTTCAGCTCCCTCTGGAGTGGCTCGTCCGATATTCCCAGATACAAAGCAACTCAGCAATTAACGAACCGACCAGAGGGGCTTTCCTAACAGATGGACTCTGTCAGGTCTCAGGCGCGCAAAGTTGCATCCTTTGCATTCCTTGCTGAAGACGGAAGGCACAAGTGAGAGCTAGAACCTACGGATATCCGGATTGTGCCAACCGGCCCTAGCCTGTAGTCTGAGGCGAACGAAGTAAAACAGACAGCGAGGCCACGCGCTCCTTTGCAGCCCCAGACAGACCTCAACAGTGCAAGTGTTCCTGTTATCGAGCATTGTTAATGTATCCCGGAAATATAAAGACGCGCAAAGGTTTTCTGAACCTTGAACAAATAGACTGGATCTAGCGGAAGCATGTTGTTTGGCAAGCACACAAGTCGCATCGAGCAAACGGGTAGACCCCACAGAGGCGTCGACGCAACGAAGCAGGATATAAGAAAGAAAGCCATGGTTGGGACCCACAGGAGATCTATCATGCACTATGCAAGCACACGTTAATCGTCAACAATTGCTAGCATTACTTGACACTGGATGTTAAATGGGAGTGTTCTCTGGGAAGAAGGTACAAAAGTGCAATCCGCATATTCAGATGTGAACAGAGCTCCTGAAACTCAGATTTGACGACGGAGTGTAGAGTGGAAAGATTGACAAGGACTTGGTGATCAAGTGCCACTCTAAGTAGGAGTTAGGTCCTATCGACATTGTGCGTGATCTCCATGTCACATTCCTGTGCCATGACGTATCCCTAGGCATGCCGTAGGTGACTTAAATAAAAATCGCGCATGCGCAAAACATCCGTGCGCTGTGGAGGTAAGCATGTCAGGAAGCCCTAGGAAGAAGTGACGTCTGGTCTCCTTGACGCTTATTATAACTATGATAAGCGGGGAAATACTCGATACCTACACCGGTTCTGAGCATGCATCTTTGTGTTTAGGTTTTGCTTCCGAGTTCAAACTGATAATCGATTGAGAAATTTAGCCGGGGAAGATCAAGTATTGGGATGTGCGAAAAAATGACCAGCCGCCAGCGGGCTGCAAACCTGCTGGTCGTTCAGCGAACCTTCTTGATTAGATCGCCGGGTCAGCCTCAGGTGATATTCCGCGCTATCAAGCCCACACAGCAAAAGCAAGAAAGTTAGCAGAATGCGAAAAATTCGTTACATAAGGCAAAGTGCAGGGATCGACGGGCACCTTTGGTCATAACCTGGTCTTAGTGCCGAATATGGACGAAATCTGGAATTCGAGCATACGCCTGAAGACTCCGAAGAAGTTTACTGTGAATCAGAAGTTGGTAGTACTTCATGCTGGCGGATTACCCGACACCTTCATAGACCAACTGTCTATCCCACATTTGACTTCACAGAGGCCCAATCCCCCATCATCGAGAAGAGAGGCGCCTGACACCGATCTACATTGAGCGATCGCAAACTTGAGTGTACATGTGTGCCGTTTAAAATTTAGCAGCGTCTGGTTGATGGGATTTTGTTTGGGCTCAGGAATGAGGAATGGATGGCTGTTTACATGGAAGACGCCTTTGCACCTGTGCGGTGCGCTTAGAGACAAAAGGCGGTATGAAAAAACATGCAAGTACCGTTTTTCATGTAAAATCCTGCAGCTCTAGGAATCCTACGCCGGTTGCAAGAATCGATTTAGGTCCAAGAAAAAATTCGAGCATTCAAGATATGGCTTTCACCTCTGCGTACACGCGAAAACAGTGAGAAGAAAAATCACCAGCTTAAGCCGCGTAATTCTTTAATTCTGCCGGTTTGCAAATTCTTACGGCTTTTGAACAACGTTGGACTAATATTACTGGGGATATAATTGCTGGACTTTTCAAGGTCCAGGTTAGTATCGGCGTCGTTGTAGGCTAAATAGGCAAATATGCCCGTTTCATCCCTTGCTCTGGCTCTGTTCCGGCTCAGGCAGTCACTCAACTATTCTAAACTAATGTGCGAAAGATCAGTGGATTCTCCTCGAGCACCATTATACACCTCTTACTCTGCGCTCAGACAGATGCAAGTCAGATGCCTGAGTTCCATCCTTGCTCTATGTGGTTTTACAGTGCAAGAGGAAGTAAGCCAATCCGTTGCTCCCCTGCATCCTTGGTTTATACCGAGGAGCCTTCCTCCTCATATGGCGCCTGAGCGTGTTGACCCACCATCAACAGCCACGCTTAGGAGCGAAGGGCTGTAAGGAACACTTGGAAATGCATGCAAATGTACGCGCAGACTTCAAGAGAGCCAAGCGTAAAATTAAGGTGGGCGGCGGTTGGCTGCATGGTTTGAGGCTGGAGATTTGGTTTCGGGAGGAAGGCAAGTTTCGCGGCGTGCACGAGAAGGCAAGCAGAAGGCGAAGTTTGAAACTAGGTGGCTAAGAGCAGCTGCGATTTCCTCAAGGATGACAGTCTCGCTCCGCCAAATCACACAGAAGTTGGAGCTGCATAAGAACTCTCAATATTAGCTTCCTTAAAAAGTTTAAAAACACCCGGAAGTATCCACAGACTTCTCTGCTTCTTTAGCAAGGGACTTCTTCAGAGGCAAATATTAACAGAGAACCGTGGATTCTAAGACTATTGGGCAGTGGCGATACAACACGCGGGCCGTGGCTTCATTGGCTGCAAAGGAACATGTTGTTCTCTCCGGTAAACGACGCTAGTGGCCATGGATGGTATTCCTCTTGCTCCTTGGCCGCTGGGCTTGACCTCCGCCTGCTCTGCATCAGCTAAGTACTTTTATGCGTGGGTATCGGCGGAACCCTTAGATCGAGTCTTCCACCCTCGCTAGGAGCTCTACAGGGAGACATTTAACTCTAGACTCGACACACGCTCAATAATGTTATTGCTTCTTGAAGAGCTTTCCTTAGGTCGCGCCCCTCATGATTCTCGTCATGAGTGCAGAAGGACTGCTGGGTTAAACGCAGCTCCACCTTCAACGAACTCGGGGCATGCACAACTATTTATTACAGCAACTAAGGCACGCACACAGCACTGCCTGCTCTTGTCTCAAGTTCACGTTAGCCTAAAATTTCATATTTTTTGAGCTGTCAAGACAAGTGGTTAATTATTTACCTGTTCCAAAACAATGCCATGCACTGGCTTGGCTTGTTACAGGGGTGGCATTATACAGGTCTGCATTCCTGAAGCAGTCATAACGGGCGCTAATAGCGGGAACCAAAGCTACATGCAATGTAGATGGTGTTCTGTAGCCTTTGTCTGCCAACTGTTTAGCCCTTGACGACGTGATTTGGCACTCGACGGTGCTTGCGAGAACGTGTGGGGCGGCACTCGCCTGCAATATCGATGCACCAGCACCTAGCATCAGCAAGCAGGAGATGATGTGCACACCGACAAAATATATTTATCTTCTTTATAAGAGCCAATCTACAAGATGCTTGGCCGTAGCAGCCCTCAATAAAACTGCAGTGGACGAGGGGCCGATACACCGAGGCCACCGCAGCCGCCAGACCTCCTTTCAAGTGCCACCATAGGCGCGGGTTGCATTTGCCACTGCACAACAGCTTTACAGCCTATTTAAATTTACATATTTAAACAAATTTTATGCTCATTTTATTAGGCCAATCGCCACCAGCAGCACGGAGGGGAAGGTCACATAAGTCTTCCGTGTTTGATGCTCTCGGAGACAAGCATTCCCATCCTCTAGAGTATTGATCCGGCAAAGTATATTATTGGGACTCTTATAAAAAATCTTGACGATATGGAGTGCTCTAACGGCCACGCGACTGTTCCCAGCGACCGCTATTTCATGCGGTTACTCGCTTATGCATCGCCGCAAAAAGAAGGCGATTTGGAAAGAGCGATACATGCTATTAAAAAGGATAACAAATATGTCGAAGTCCCTGACTATGACATGTTCCCTGCCCAAGGATGGGATCCCCTTTTTCGTGACGCCGGTATTAAGCCTGAAGATAAAAGGGGCGAAGATAGCGGCATCGAAGAGCGCGAAAGATCTAAGATGTGCATAAAAAAGCTTGAGAGCCTGTTATCCCCTCCAGCGGCCTTTTTTCAGGGTCACCTCGCTGGGGAACTCCCCTCCATTGTGGATGCGATTGGCTGCACCCCCCTTGTCCGCCTTTCTCGCATCGCTGCTGCCGCAGGCTGCGCCTGTCAGCTACTAGGCAAGTGCGAGTACCTCAGCGCAGGGGGCAGCGTCAAGGACAGGATTGCAAGGGGAATGATTACGACTGCAGAGGCTGATGGCTTGTTAGCAGATGGCGCCGCGATCATAGAACCGACTAGCGGTAACACGGGTATTGGCCTAGCCCTCGTCGCTGCCGTCAAGGGGTATCGGTCTGTTGCAGTGATGCCCATGAAAATGTCTGCGGAGAAACATAGTATTATGAATGCTCTAGGAGCTACCATCCTGCGCACTCCGACAAAGGCGGCGTGGAATGATCAAGACTCTCACATTGCGCTGTCTATTAGGCTGCAAAACGAAATGAACGCGCAAAACAAGGTTAAGAAGGAGGCTTATGCGAAGTGTGATGGCGTAGGAACGAAGGCCGACGCGAGGCAGCCCGCATGCATTCTAGATCAATATCGCAATGTGGCAAATCCTGCATCTCACTTTTTTGGAACGGGAGCAGAATTGCTGCATCAGTGTGGAACGAAGCTGGACATGGTGGTCATCTGCGCGGGGACAGGAGGAACGCTCACTGGCATTGGCAAGCGAATCAAGTTGGCGCTGCCTGAATGTCTTGTTGTTGGCGTGGATCCCGTAGGATCCATTCTGGCAGATCCAACCGAGACTCCAGGGAAGCCTTACCTTGTGGAAGGAATTGGCTACGACTTCGTTCCGACTGTCCTCGATAGAGATGTAACAGACTTTTGGATCAAAGTGACAGATGCAGAGGGGCTTTTGTGCTCTCGGCTCTTGCTCAAGCTCGAAGGCATGCTCGTTGGTGGATCAGCAGGTTCTGCTTTGGCTGGGACGTTCAAAGCCATAGAACGCATGGGTTGGAGTGACGACCCTACTAAACGAATTGCACTGATCCTTCCAGATGGAAGCAGGAACTACACTTCCAAGTTTGTCTCTGATGAGTGGATGGCTGATAAGGGTGAGGTGATGCTGCTCTGCAGGAGCAGCTGCAAGGCATGCTGGTTGCGTTGACAAAAATAATACGTGCGCGTGAATTAAGCACGTAAAGAGTGCAAAAGTACTGTGCACCTTGGTACTAAACAGCATAGTGAACGGCGTTTCACAAAATCTGCTAAGCCCTCCTGCGGTGTGCTCTGCCTCTACAGGCTTCTTGGAACCCATGGCGCTTCATCGACAATACCCTGAGTATAAAAGCTTGACCATACAAAGTCTGGAATTACCACGGCTGCGCTTTGTTTCAGCCCATATCCCATTAGTGGAAGCAGCAGCACAGTTGATGAAGTCTCCGCAGCGTTTCCTAGTGGTTGTAGACACTACAGCAGCTCAAGCAGAAGCCGAGAAGGACGGCGTACCCCTTGCCCATTTGCTTGGCACCGTTTCTCAGAAAGGCCTTCTTATGGCGTTGGGAGACATGCCCAACGACACAACGATTGAAACCATTGCAGAGACCGACACTCCTGTGTATAACAAGGCCACTCCTCTATCGCGTGTCGCCCAGAGTCTGGAGCTGCGCTCATTCATTCTCGTTGAATCGGACGGAGTCGTAAATGCAGCGGTTGGAGCAGACCAGTTGCTACAGGCTTTCATTGCCAAAAAGTAGGCCAAGACGTACTGGGAAAAGCAAATATGCGTAGGTTTCTGAGAATATAGCTGCTGCCGAAATGCAGCAGAGAGAAACCTGCCTGAGAGCGTGCCTTGTGGAACTCCCACCTGCCCTTTCACCAAGATCTGATGTTAATATGTGGGGCAGCCTTACAAGACCGTCTCTGTGAAGCTTCTGGTGTAATTGTATATAACCAGCTTAAAGGTCCTTGTCAAAGAAGCACCCCCGATATGAATGGCTTGATCACCACACAGCGGGGCGTCGTAACTGCTTCCTCAGTCGACTAAGGATGATCTCTTCATTGGAAATGCTTTACTGGGACTTTGACACTGCAAGTATCTAGCAGAAGCTCAATGGATTAAGTCCAGTTTCCAAGTAATTTAGCACAGCGGGTTTTTCGGCGACAAAATGGTGTACAAGGAGGTTCATGTTCCTCTCTTGCCTCTTTTTTATAGTTTAATACTGCCGTGATGAGGGACGACTGCGCCGTGTCTCCATGGAGTCCTGTATATATAGAGCCTTTTGTGCTAAGACTGATGATCAATGACTTGGCAAAGAGCCTTTAGCATTCTCTACAAGAGGGCTAGCTACATTTAGGCATGCATTACACTTGTATTGAATCAAGGATTATCTCAGAGTGAACCGTTTTTCTTGGCTGTTCGTATAGTTTTGCTATCGTAGAATACTGATCGCTCAGGAAGTTCAAATGCAATTTCGTGTCCACGGGCGCTGGATGTTGTGTGCAATGAGCTGCGAATGCTCGGAGTGCAGAGAATGCAGCTGCGTGCACCTTAGCTCTCCCTCTTCCCCCACGCCAGAGCCTCTGGGGGCCAGAGCAGGTGAACAGGGGAGCTCTTTTTGCAACTGTACTCCATAACGTTCTCTTAGGTGTTTGTATCGAGTTTGATGTCGAGCGTCTTCTACCGATATATCGCACGTATTCAGCCACAATGACCCTCTTCCCTAGCTTGCTGCCAGACTAGAAAGATTTTGTAAAGCCAACTACACTTTTGATATTCTCGTAGATGCTTAGATTAATTCAGCCTCGAGCTCAGCTTGGCAAAACGTGCCAAGATCCATTTTTGTTCCCCGTTGTGGAGAGTTCATTAATTTCATCTGAGCGTGAAGATGGTATGCCTGAGAACGCCTGAGCATTTCATTTTTGCTCACAGACAAGACCAGAAGGTGATTCTCGAGTAAATACCGTTGCTTCTTCCTGATACCACCCCTGCAGGGACTTGTCGAAGCTCAACTAATGGAACCTCCAGCGCGAGGGCCTGTAATGCAAGGATTACCATCTGCAAAATGGACACTCGCGGCTTCAGGTCGCATTGCTGGAAAATGAGCTTAGGCAGCAATTCGACCGAAATGATCTACGGAATCTATATCTAAAATGCTACGATTCGTGGTAAACAAGGGGAGACCTGTCTCAAAGTACGCATCAAGCATTTGCTCTTGAATAGCCATAGACAAATAAATATCCAACTCATTGATTTTTAGAGAATCTGCCTTTAATCAGAATTCATTTGTTCTACGTTATTGAGGGTGTTTTTCATCTATGCGTAGAAAGTCGCTCCGTTCCCCAAACACGAATCATGAATGTGCGGTGTCCTGCTCATTATACAGACTCACTCAGCATGCAATATCGTTTTGTGGCGTAATTGTTTGACGTCCAACAGTTGCAGCACATCTGCATGGACAGATGCTGCCGCGCAGCACATTGGAGTCTATGGTGTACCGAACTCTCACAGCTAGTTACCAACTGGAAGGCCAGTAGCATCTGAGCTACAGCCTTCTCTTTGATTCGCTTGGCCTCTCGCTACCTATGGCTTGACGAGCAGTGAACACCAATTCCTACTAGCCCTGAGACGAGGCAGATCAACACTAGCGACTGTGCGTTTGAATTCATGGTGTACGAAGACGATTCCACCTCTTGTCTAATCATGAAGTTCCAGAGAACAGCTGGGGTGCGGCTCTCCTGGACTTAGCACGATTGCGCTATCAAGTTCTCCGGATTGCTCTAAGTTGCAGTTTGCGTCTTCTCTCTGAGCTGAGTGTTAGTACGATGCGCCATACAGCACATACATTAGTCCAAAAGGGGACAAACTAGCAAGAGGCACCCCCTGTACTCTGACTTAGCAAATCTAAGCTTCTTCAGCAAAGCAAATGTAATTAAAGGCAGCGTCTTCCTAGCTTTATGGTTCCACAACAAATGGTGGACCAGCTCCTGCGTCAGCGTAAGAAACCCTTTACATGCTGCAAAAGCGCTGTGTTCATCCTCAGATTGCAGTCGCTCAGCAATCAAACTGTGGTTATATGGCGGTACCATGTTTTTGCATAGTAGGTAAATCGTTATTGTTAGACGTTGGTATCAACGGTTAGACCATACCGCGGTGTGAAAACGCACATCTATTAGGCTTTTGCTTCGGTTCTAACGATGGAGTAGCATCTGCTCTTTTCATTGTGAGGATGTTTTTATATCGGCAGCAGGTGACCCTCCAAATTAGAGGCTCATATACATTGATAAAACGGAAGACGGAGCATGCAAATGCGCACGGCACATTACTGGACCTTTAACTTTTGCTGGCTGATTTGGCGTGTGAGATGTACAAAAACTCCTTATTAACTTTAAATCGTCTTCACATTTGTTCTGTACATGGCGAGTCAGTCAATCTACGCCTTGACAACAATTCTATACCGGAACGATCCATCGAGTCAATCGTTTCAGCAACTTCTGGCAAAAGGTTTGCTGCGAAAGCCGCAACTTCATTCGATTTGTATGAATCCAGCTCCATTTCTACCTTTATACTCCGAAAGGTTTTGAGCTGTTGAGGCTATGTGAATCTCTCCCAGTTGTTGCACTGGAATTTGCTGCAGTTGCCACACAGGAGCCCGTAGCTCGGCTGCGCGGTGTAGCCCCGAAGCAGTGGTCTGCATACTTCTTCGTAGCGACAGTTAGCATTGCAGCAACAGTAGTATTTTATCCACTGGAGAACACTTCAGGCTGTACTCAAGGAGCTCTGTCTTAATTATTGCTGACGGCGTATCGCAATGCAACTCGACGCCAACTGTGCTGCGGCGGGCCCTTCTTCTGGTAGCCGCACAGCTGCTGCAGTTTCGCCTTGAGCATTGTCTGCTCCTTAGCTCTATATGGAGACAAGCACACAGATCTACATCAGCGAAGAGAAAGGCAGCATTGAGGAAGCGGCTCTCTGCTTGCAGCTGAGAGGCCCCATGGGAACAGCGGCTTCTACGCAGGGCGCTTCGCCGAACTCCAGCGGCCGGCAGCACCAGCAACTTCAGCAGATTCGACAACTTATGCAGCAACCCCAGCCGCATCAGCATGGGCAAGACATGTCAGCTGGAGTCTCACCTTCGAGAACTCGGACGGTCGGGGGCGTTTCAGGTAACAACGCTGCACCTGCCCGCGGCGCTCCTCTGTCGAACGAAGCTGCAGCGCATGTTGAACCCACCATCGATGCAGTAGAGACAGCGTCTGGAATCGCTCCCTCAGCGGCAGCCCCTCAAGAAGCAACAACTTATGCAACCGCGCCAACACGTCCTGCACCAACAGCAGCAGGCGAGGAACGCATCGAAGCAGAAGACACTTTTCCCTTAGAGACCCCCGATGATCGCCATATCTCATTAGTGGCACGCTTCATTGCGGAGGGACTTTTGAGCCCTCAAGAGACTTTCGAGGAGCTTCGGGCATCTTTCTTACTCATTGAATTCGAATCCGATCAAGGTAAGGGTTACTCCTCATAGGAGCTGTTTCTCTTGTTCCTAAAACCTCCTGATGCAGTTGGTGAGGCTGCAAAAAGTATCTGTGCATGTGCTGTTTCTACTGTGGATGATGCTGCGTTCGCAGCTGCACAGTCTGCCCGTACAGCACGGGGGGTTTTGAACAGCATCGGCAACAGGTGCACTGACAGCAGCAGCAGCAACAGAATCGCCATAGAGGAAGAGCTTCTAGGCTCCGATGTGGAGGTGTGTCTCCGCCTTGGCGAGGCTCGACGGCAGCAGCAGTGGTTGCTACAACTGCTCGCACGAGATGCAGATGCGCTGAAGCATGTCTTGCAAACAAGGGAAGACTGGGAACGGCTTGCAGGCACGTCATGAGTAATTTCTGAATATTGTGGCCCTTATGACTTAAAACAGTGCTGGCATTTCTTTCGATACTACAAATTCACATTTTAGGCGTCATGCTGGTGCATTCACATTCACCGAGTGTGTCATCGCCACGGCTACTGCTGCGCTGCGTCTAGGCTGTTTTCTGGGAAACTTTTATGTTATTTCAAACACCTTTTGGAAGCCTTCCAGTCACACATCGGACACGGGTCACCCGCCAACAGCTCTCACAAATGGGAGCAACAACACCAACACGTGCAGAATGAATCTGAACACCACGATCAACAGGAGCGTCCTTCCGTCCGAGGAGAAGGAGGCCTTTCCGGTGGACCTTGCCGCTGCAAATAAGTTTTACCAAGGCATTTTGAAGGCTGTGCGAAGTGCGTTTTCCTCGAAAGCGGTGGCTGTTGTTCTGTGTGAAGCCTCATCAAAACACAGGCTCACATACACACACAGAGGGCTGTTCGGTGGTCGCTGTTGTATTGCTGCATGTGCTGGCACTCTTTGACGGCTCTGGTGCGGAGATTTTCGTCAATTACTGTCACTTTTAAAATGCTGCGAACGCCGCTTTTGCTGCTTCAGCTGTAGGGGAAAGAGAGTGGGACCCTATTGAGATAATGCTAAAGGCTATAGAGAACCTTTGTGAGCACCTCCTTCGAAATGCCGCGGCATTGCGGGAACCTCAGCAGCTGGCCTTCATCCCGATTCTTTTGGGTATGACTCGCATCCTTGCCGTTGCTACACTCGGCCCTTCTTTGCATCTCTAGCTCAGACTCTCTGCCGGCAGTGCACCGTGTCTACTGCCTGCCTCTGCGCATGAGACAGATGCTCTACTGAGGCTTTCTGTTCGCTTCTGTTCATCGTATTGCACTCACGCAGACTGCCCTTTTCTCGAGGAAGACGCGGATGTTGCCACAGTATTCAAACTCTGCCAGGTTGTTGCGGCCTTGCCTTACGAGTCACGCTGTACGATCGCCAGGTGGTGTGCCTCGTCAAACGCTGCTAAGACTGCTGCTTCTCCTAATAGTGCTTCGGGGAGTGCTGCAGTTGACTTGCATGTGCCGCTGCCCTTTGATGAGGCTGCTATCCCGTCTGTCCCCTGTCTCGCTGAGGGTAGACTTTTTTCTTCTCCTGATCTTCCCTGGCTGGTGTTCGTGCCGTGCTTTCTCATAGCCCTCGCAGTTGTATACCCTATGATCTAGAGTTAGTTTTCTCTGCCATGGAGCGTCTGCCATGGGCAGCTGCTCTGAGCGCTGCAACGCTTGCTCTTTGATGCTGCTACCTGTGAGCACGCTGCCGAATCTCGACAATGTGCGGCTGTCCTTTCGTGTAGGTATGTGGACGTCCCTTCCTTCCATATGAAGCAGCACCTAGCAGCTGTTCAGCAGCTGATAACAGGCAAGGCTTCTACCGGGCTGTCCTCATCACGTCTGCATGCGGTGCTGTGGCGCTGCTGTTTGTCTGTAGCCTCCAGGCCGCACGCCTTCGTGTGAATATCCTCTAGACGGCGGGTTGCATTCTTCGCCGCCGCTGCACTCAACGATCAAATCTCCGTGTGTTTTCTTCTCCCTCCGCTGCAGTGCGGCTGCTGGCTGCTGGTCCGCTGGAGATGTGGCATTATCTGGAGGCGACTGCGCACCCCGCAGAAGCTGCACTTCGCTCGTCTCTTCAGCTGCTGCATCTGCTGTACGTCGCGAATGTCAACCGACAGCAGCGTCGGCTGCAGCTGCAGCACTGGCGACAGCAGCGCGTCCCCTCGGGGGGAGAGGAAGACCTGAGCCTCGTCTTTTCGCAGGTTTACCGAAGAGGGGCACCCGCTGATGCCACGCTAGAAGCGACAATCAGCAGCCATCAACCCTCTCAACAAGAAGAAGCAGCCTTGGAAGAGGTCGAGCTAGGCTTGTTCCATAGCGATGCCATCAACTCCAGCATTCCCCTGCTGCAACACGAGTTCGCTCTGTGGCTGCGCTTGCGGAGGGGTGTTACCACCCCGCGTGTCAGCAGCGTTCTCCTGCATCGCATTCCACAGCAGCGCGAACTTGGCGTCGAGATAGCAGGAGGTGGGATCTCTCTCTCTCCCTATCCAGCTGCATCAGCATGCGTACATGCGGCGTATGGGGAATGCAGTTCCTGCAGCAGCGTCCCTTGAATCACTGCTAATAAACGGTGCAGCCCTTGTAGCAGGGGGGAGACTGCCTTTCTTTGAATGGTGTAGAGAGTGCTTATCTTATACGCAATCGTGGCGAGAGCACACCGAGAGGCAGGAAAAAAAGATAACTTAGTTTGAAGGGGCATCCGTAGCAGTGCGCTCAGCTGCAGTGTTGAGACACAAGGGCGAAAGCTCTAAATTGAAGTCTGCTGTACAGTCACCGATAGGTGGATCTTTTTCTTTTGCTGAAGCGCGGCAGTAGATGCGCGAATTCTGCATAGAGAGGCGCATTGTGGCTTGGAAAATGCGTTTTCTCGGTGTGTTTATTTACACAAGCAGCCGGGTGCTTATGCGTGCTTGCTGCAGATACTGAAGAGGATGCTGCTGAGGATCCCCTTCACATAGGCACTCCAGAGTATGCGACTGCGGCTGCAGCACTTGCTGCGGGAGTCACATCGCCTGCTGTAGCCATGTCAAGTCCAGCAACAGCAGCAGCGGCCGCTGCAGCAAACGCTCCTTTCTCGCACTTTGTGGTTCCGGAAAGAAGTTTAGAAACGCAGACATTTTTTCTCCTGGCGCATCCCTTCGTCTTAGACGCTTCCTCAAAGGCAGACATTCTGCGAAAGCAGGCAACCATAGACCAGCAGCATCAGGTTTGTTCCCTGAATGCAGCTGCTGCCGCGTGCCCTTAAAAAAGCTTGTGATGCCGTCGTCTCTGCCTCTGGTGGTAATGTGCTGTGTGTGTGCTGTTCTCTGAACGGGAGAGGTGGACACGTTTGGATTAGTGTGTGGTCGGGGGCGGGGGGTCTAGTGTATGACTGTCTGTACACCGCGTGCATGCCGAGACGGCCGCCTCTGTGGAGGCAAACCCTCGCTCTTAGTGGTGGACGCTGCAAGAGGGGCTGCACTATTTACTAGCCTATCTCAAGTCTCCTGAGACGTAAAGGAGGCCAATTAATTCCTGCCTTCAATCCCCTCGTTGGAGTCTCCTGTATATGTGTGTGTGGGTTGCTACTTCTGCAGGCCCGTCAAGCGGAAATTGATTCCATCGTTGCATTATGCACCGGAGGCGCTATGTATCCGACTCCCTTTCTGTACTTGCGTGTGCGGCGTTCCCACCTAGTTCAGGATACACTCCAACAAATTGCGTGTAACAGTAGTAGCGGCAGCCACAGCACTAACACCAACTTCCGCAAGGCGCTGAAAGTGAAGTTCGTTGGTGAGGAAGGCGTCGACCAAGGGGGTGTCGCTAAGGAATTCTTTCAGCTCCTAGTTGACGAGGTGGGCATTACGGGGAGAAAGGAAGGGGACAGCCTTTCCCCCAAGAGGCCTTCGCAGCGCTCAAAGGTCTATGCTCAAGAGGCGGCTTTCCCCTAGAAACTGCACAGTTTGGTGTACCTTTTTCGTGTAGTAGAACCTGGAGCACTAGGCAACTACACAGAGCCTGATAATCCATTTGTATATATACATTTGATGAAAGGCCAACTTTGGTCGACTCCCTTAATGCTGTAGTTTCAAGTCTGCTTTTTTGTTGCGTTTGGGTGTACGTATACAGCTATTCAGCCCTGACTATGGCATGTTTTCTCTAGATGAGGAAAGCCGAATGCATTGGTTCTGTTCTTTCTCGTTAGAAGGAAGATATCGATTTGAGCTCATTGGGATTATCTGTGGACTCGCAATCCACAATTCGGTCTTAATGCCTGTCAGCTTCCCGTTGGTGCTCTTCAAGAAGCTCCTAGGGTGGCCTGCTAACTCCCTGGAGGATCTCTACCAGCTGCATCCTCAAATTGCAAGGCACGGCTGCACCCTCCAAGTTTTAGTGTGCCGTTTTGCTGTGCTCTCTGCTGTCTCCGCCGGCTCGGGACGGTGCCTGAAGGCTGTGCTGTGTAGCGACTGTGCACAGCCAGCATAGCAGCCCTCTAGACGCAGCCATCCTGTTTCTTCATTGTCCACTACTGCTGCTGGCGCGAATGCAGGAGCCTGCGATGCGTGCTTGAAGCGACGGAGGAGGTCCTGGAAGGCATGGCATTGACTTTCAGTGTATCTTCAGACTTCCTAGGAGAACAACGGGAAGACGCACTTGGATCGCACGATCCCAGTACAAGGGTTACTGTTGCCAATCGGTAATCAGTGCCTTCTGTAGAATGTCGACTCCTGCAGTAACGGCAGCAACAGAACTAGAGCACAGCGTCCCCGCGGTGTACATACACCAACCACAATAACAGCACGGGCAGCGCCTCTATCGTAAAGGGAATACGCCGAAGGGACCATGTTGGTTTTAAGCGCGTTTTCGTATGGTTTCTGTTGCAGTGAAGAATACGTTCAGCTGTACATAAACTATATTCTGGAAGTGTCGGTACGCGAGCAATACTCTGCTTTTGAGGAGGGATTCTATCGGTGTGTGGATAAAGCGACGATCTCCTTGTTCCGGCCTGAAGAGTTGCAGCTGCTGCTTCTGGGGAAGGAGGAGGAACTTGACGTATCATTGCTTCAAAAGGTATACAGCGCGGCCGATATCCTGCATCCAAGGGTATTATCGCCAACCGTGCGGGCAGCCTTCTTCATGGGTGTTTTAACGTGCAGTGATCCTGCCGCTGTTGGCCATTTGATGCGTTGCTGCTGCACATGCCTTCTCATCAGCTGTACGGGTGTTCTGTGATCGATCAGGCAGCAACTTATCAAGACGGCTACACAGAGGATTCCCCTGCAGTCTCAATGTTTTGGAGTGTCTGTCGAGGCTTCAGCCCGGAAGAGAAAAAGAAATTACTCATGTTCATTACGGGTACACATGAATATATGTAAATCAAATATATATGTATACATACACCAGCGTGTACCTATCTAGATGGTATCGCATGCTTTAGAATTCGTATGTGTATTAGACGACGAGCGCGAGCGCAGTAGCCGACGCAGTTGGGGAACCAACAGCGAATTCGTGCAACTTTCGCGAGGTGTTGCATGCATGCATGCATGCATGCGAATGCAGGATCGGATCGCATTCCCTTGGGAGGGCCTCAGTCCTTGCGTCTCACGATTGGGCGTAGTGGGCCGGATACTGATCGGTGAGGATAAAGACGGTTGCCGCAGAGCTGCAGTTTTTTTCGTAGAACATGGTGCATGCATTTGCGAAAATGTATAATCAGACGCGCCTTCCGCGTTCAATGGGATTTATTGAATGGGTGTCTGTGTTTGGTTCAATTCACGCACTGACCTGCCTGCTGCTGCCTAAGCCTACGTATCCACCTTTCTGCACCAGTTCAAGTTGCCACCAGGGGTGTACACCCCTGGCAAGCGAAGAGGGCTCATTGCCCGACCACTTTTAAGCGTCTTGCGCAGGATTCCCGTTGCTTTCTGTGCTGCAGTCTGCCAACAGCCCACACGTGCTTCAACTTCTTACTGCTGCCGGACTATAGCAGTAAAGAGAAGATGGCCAGGCTGCTCCTCATTGCCATTCAAAACTGTCATGGCTTCGGTCTGCGGTGACGCTTTTCCTCGCTGGAGGCTCTACGCAGAGTTTCGCGTGCAGCCGACCTTTGTGTTCTCATAGCGACTGGTCAGGCACCAACTGCAACCGCCTTCTCTAAAGCCGCTTGTGACTCTTTTTGCAAGTAGGAAGCAACGAAGGCCAAAAAGCGTTTACCGCCCACGCTACGTTCGAGAGGGTGCAGTTGCCGGAAAGTCTTCCGGAGACTCGCTCACGTACGGATCGCGCCGTGGGGTTTATCTACAGCTGCTGTGGACGCACTGCAACTATCGCCGCAGGAGCCTGCAAGCCCCGATTCTCTGGAAGGCTCCTGCTTGTTGCCAGCGGCAGCAACGGGAGAGCAGCAGAATTAGGAGCTAGTGAGCTATTTGTGCGGCTAGTGAGTGGCACAGGCTTGCGCAACGTGTGTGCCTATGCTGGAAGGTGGTGTCAAACGCCTTATCTTTCGGCGGTGCGAGTTCCTGAAACCAACGTAGCAAAGACCTTTCTGCGTAGTAGCGCTCACGTTGCGGAGTCCTCTTTCGCCAGCCCACGATGGGAGCATGCCAGTAGTAGTGATTCAACTGGCTTACAAGGCACAGTTAAGGGGGGGATGGAATTGAAGGGGCAACAAAAGGACTTTGCAGCATCTGTATTGCGATATTCAGAAAGGAAGGATGGCATTGGCAGTGAGCGACAGCGAGCCTCGTTCCCCTGCCCTTCCCGTTGCTTCTTTGTATGTTTTTTGCTGCAACCTGGAGAATCACACTCTCCGAACGTTGTTGCCTTGCATGCCGGTGCCAAGCTGTCGCTTGAACTGCACTGAACTAATAACTTCTCATGTTCTCTGAACCGCAGCTTGACCTGGGCGTAGAAAGACGTCTTGCGAAACAAAACATATACCATGTGTGGTTCCAACAACACCAGAGACGATCTAAGACGTCGTCTGGCCATCTAGTGTGTCTTCAAAACAGGATGCACTCTGTTGCGGCTTCGGTTAAATGTAGCACACGTGGCAAAAAGAAGGAGCTGCCACAGGATAGCAAGTGGGGGTTCTTAGCCCCTAGCGGACTGCTAGGCGGGAGGCAGACCGAATAGTTGGCTAGCTAGCTAGCTGGCCAAAGCTTTCAGCCCTCCTGACCTGGACGCTTGAGGCGCTTCAGAGGCTCAAGATCCCACAGAGAAACAGACGTCGCAGCTGCTGCAGCAGCAGCAGCAGCTGCTGCTGCCGATGCTTCGCCAGGCCTTGCAAGGCGGCGCTCTTCCCAGTCAACGGACACCCCGGCCCACAAGCCAGACGCTGAGCAGTCTATACGGCGGATAATACCCGCAAGCCGCTGATGCTGCTGCTGCAAGTGCTGCTGCTGCACACTAAAGTCAAGCGCCGCAAAGCCCAGACCCCTTGGGACTGGTGGAAGGGTCGCAGCAGCGGCAGCAGCAGCAGCGGCAGGGCAGCAACCGAGCTGCATGCGGAAGCGCATGCCAGGAGACCACCCCAACTCCAGCGACTGCAGCACCTTGTTGCGCTGCAGCAGAGGAACTCTGCTTCCGGGAAGAAGCGGTATATCAAGAATAATCCAGCGTCTCCGCAGCTGCGGTCCGTGGGCAGCCTCCGGCAGCAACTCTTCAGCGTCCAATGCGTGCATGCGGCTTTGAGAGGAGGCACCTACGCCCTCGGAGTCGTTCAAAGCTTGCTCTATGGAAGCGAAGGAGCCTCCGTCGACTGCTGCTATACATGCGGATGCGGCTTCTCTGCGTTGTTGCTGCTGCAAATGCTGCCCCTCTGCCCCTGCAGGCCTGTTGCTATCTGCGCCTCCCGTTCCCCTAGCCAACCTGGATGCATTCCGAGTGATGCGGCTTTCGCTTGCAGCAGCAGCAGCAGCAGCACTTGCCAGCGACTCTAAGCCCTCAACCACACTATCCGCTGCAGTCGGATGCCTTCTGAAGACGGCGCCACACACACACGCATCACGGACAGCAGCAGCAGCGACAAACAATGGGGAACGTATAGCCGCAAAAAGAAGCCAAAATGCAGCGCGCAAGCCACCCCTGCACCACATTTAAGAACCTACTAGCGCACTGTCGTATCTGGCTATCCTCCTTCCAGACATAACACCTTCCGCAGCATTTGTCAGCTCTCACCGGTGGCATGCACAGGAGCAGAACGAGCAGAGGGCAACAGTGTGTCTGAGGTGTCCCGACACACTGGCAGCAGCAGCAGCAGCAGCAGCAGCAGCAGCAGCAGCAGCAGCAGCAGCAGCAGAAGGAAATTACCGGGTTGCAACAGAACAGACGACCCTGTAGTGGGGGCATAGAGACGTGTCGAGGACTGCAGTTCCTAGAATTTCGCCTGTTGGCTGTACGAGGTTCTGTTGTTGCTGTATCAGTTGTTGCAGCTGCAGCTGCTTCTGCAAATAGAGCAACGCTGCTTGGCCCCTTCTGGCTGCGAGGCGCAAAGGATCGGCTTGCAATAAAAAGTCTTCATATGTCTGCTCCACTAGGCCTTCTGGCACACACGCGTTGGCACTGCCCATACTGCGCCGTCTCCTGCAAGGAGGTGACGTTTTTCTTTGAGACGTGTTGTTGTCTGCGGGAGTGGCAGCGCCGGATGCTCCCACTGCTGTTTCAGAGAGTTGGGAGGGCTCTCGCTGTGCTGCAAATAAACGCTGCGCAGAGACTGACTCCCCTACTGCTCCCCCTCCTCCTCCAGCAAGCGGAGACGCTTCGGAGACGGCCGGTGGGTGCTGCAGCTGAGCCTGCTGAGCTGGCTTTGCCAGACCTAGAACAACTGGATCTTCCTGAAGAGAGAACGAAAAAAGTGACGCTGCAACACTGACTCCCGCTGCATCGCCCCCAGAACCTGAAGGCATTGCCTGCGTGGCATTGTGCAGCGAAATCGCTGTAGATTTCACTGCAGCGAGGGGAGGCTCCATTTCCACGGGAGGCGGCAATAAACCCGCAAAGCCAGCAAAGTATTCAATGTGGTGGACACGAAGCTCCTCAATCCAACTGAGGCATTCGGGGGATTTGAGGCTGCAACACGTTCGGTTGTAGCCGCATCCTCCCGCTGCAGCTTGATCCTGCAGACAGACCATGGTGGACAAGCAGACGCGCGCAAATGCCATGCACGAATAAACAATTCTAATTACCTCGTCGACATGAAAGAATCAAAACAGACACATAGAATGAGAGAGAGAGATAGAGAGAAAGAAAGAAAGAAAGAAAGAAAGAAAGAGAAAGAGATAGAGAGAGAAAGAAAGAAAGAAAGAAAGAGATAGAGAAAGAGATAGAGGAAGAAAAGAGAAAGAAAGGATAGAGACAGATGGAGAAAGATAGAGAAAGAAAGACAGAAAAAGTGATGACGGTGATTGATTACGCAGCAGCAGCGGGGAACGCTACACAGTGGTACAAAGCCGCTTTTTTTGTGGAAAGGCGATCTGCTGAGTACAAATAATTTGCAGCAGGCACCTGCATTGCACTCTGTACTGCCACAGTCGAGGTCACTGCATCATTACAGCTGCCTACCTGCAGCAACACGGCACTGACGAGATCGAGATGCCCCTTTCTGAAGAAGAAGAGAGAGTCTCCGACGGAGGGAACCTGCTGTCTCTGGAGATCTGACGCGAGGAGCTGCTCGAAAATATCTCTGCAAGAGCAATCGAAAGAGCAATCGAAAGAGCAATCGAAAGATCATGAGCATTGCCAACACCTAATTGGGGCCTATTCGCGCTGCAATGCATCAGCAATTCCACCCCAGCTAAAAAGGGGAAGCCTGCATGCTTCCGCTTCTGCCTGTCTGGAAATGAAATAACGGCCTCACGCAGTCGAAGGAGACTGCTGCCAGTCCAGGAGGGGTATTATGAACAGTTTTTCTCCGAAATATTTCCCCTTTTCCCCCTTTCGCTCTCCCCCCGAATACGGCGAGCGATGTATATCTATATATCTATATATCTACATGTACATGCACATTTGTACAGAGAAGAGAGGGCACACCTCGAAATAGGAGCATTCAAATCGGTGAGACGCTGGCAGTCGAGACCAGCAGCTTTCCACACGTTTGCATAGAGCCCCCATAGAGGAACTAGATCCAATCGCCTCCTGACTTCTTGCCACTGTCTCGCCTCCGTGGGGAGGCTGCCTTGGCAGGGGGAGCCGCTGGTGTCTGCTTTGTTGGCTTGTGTTGAGGCACCGTTGCTGCAGAAGGCTTGCTCGTAGGCTTCGCCAAGGAGCTGCAGCAGCGAGGCTTCGTTCCAGCCGAAGCCGCAACACACACAGCGCACGAGAGCCGCGAAGCGGGCAGCTGCTGCAGCCTCCTCTCCGCTTCCCGAGGGTGCAGTCTCTGCCGCAGTCTTTGCCTCTTTGTCTGCCGCAGCTGCGATCGCCACTGCGGCAGCAACGGACTCGCTCGACAGGAAGCACACCATCTGTTCTCCTTCTTGATGCGCATCTCTTGCCCCTTTTTCTGCCGCTGGAAGCGGAGAAGACGGCCCTAGTGGTGCTGTGGCAGCCACGCCGACGACTGCAGCAGCGGATTTCGTCTCCTCCTCTGAAGCGTCTCCTTCGAGGCGAGCTCGAGTATCCGCAGGAGCCTCGTCTGCACGCACCGAACCTGCCACCGCTACACGAGGACTGCTGCTGTGCATGCTCCCCCTCTGAGCCGCAACATGGCCGCTCTTTAAGTGCCCAGTCTCGAACTGCCCCTCGAAATCCTCCTCCAGCTTCCGCCAACGTCGCTGCACGCCTTCCTCAGCTGCTGCTGCTTCTGGGGAAGCTGCAGCAGCAGCAGCAGCGGAGGAGTTGAAAGCCTCTTGGGGAACGTCTTGCGGCTGCCCAGGAGTAGGCAGAAGCACAGGGAGCTGCAGAGACAGCTGCTGGAGATCCCCTCGCCACTGATGCCTCCGGTAGAACCAGCCCTCTGCATGCACACAGCCTGCCTCCTCCACGAGCGCCTCTATGTACAGCAACAGTTGCGTTAGGATGCCCTAAAGGAGGGAACAGAGAAGAACAAAATCACCAGCAAAAGCAACATGAAGGCACAAGAAAGCCTCAAAGAGTTTCTGGCCAGAAGCGGGAGCGCCATATTGCCTACACTGAACTGCATTACATTTCACTGAACTGCATTACATTTCACTGAACTGCATTACATTTCACTGAACTGCATTACATTTCACTGAACTGCATTACATTACACTGCATTACACTGAACTGCATTACACTGAACTGCATTACATTTCACTGCATTACATTAGACTGAACTGCATTACATTTCACTGCATTACACTGAACTGCATTACATTTCACTGCATTACATTTCACTGCATTACATTAGACTGCATTACATTAGACTGCATTACATTAGACTGCATTCCATTAGACTGCATTACATTAGACTGCATTACATTAGACTGCATTACATTACACTGCATTACATTAGACTGCATTACATTAGACTGCATTACATTTCACTGAACTGCATTACATTACACTGAACTGCATTACACTGAACTGCATTACATTACACTGCATTACATTACACTGAACTGCATTACATTAAACTGCATTACATTTCACTGCATTACACTGAATTGCATTACACTGAACTGTATTGCAGTGCCTGAATGACAGCAAGCGATAGAGTACAGAAGTAGCCGCAATTTTTGGCAGCTATACGCCTTGTTGTTGCACGAGACAGCGAAAGATGCAGCATGCGAGAGCGAGAGGAGGAGTTCTTCTATGTGCTGCAAAATGCCTTACCACCAGCAGCGTCTGTGCCATCCAGTAGCGTCGATGCTGCCTCACAGCCGCTGAGGAGGACGCGAAGGCAGCAGGAAAGTTTTTTTGTTGCTGCAGCTCTTCTGCACAGGGGATGCTGCCTTCCGGAGAGTAAGCTACACTGCAGGATGCAGCCGTCTCAGCGATTGTGAGTGCTGCAGCAAATGCCATGCACGGAGAAAACTGCTGGGGTTGCCTCTGCTGCCACAGAAGGGGGTAACATCGAGGCAGCAACAGCACATTCCAGTCATGCAGCATCTTGCAGCCCAGCCAGACAGCTGCTGCAAGAGGCGATGGAGGAATGGAGGGGACGATTTCTCGTGGACGCAGTTGCTCTCCATTCATCTGCAGCAACAGAAGTAGCCACAGACAGGCACAATGCATGCGCAAAAGGGGAGATAGTATACCTGTATACATACATATATATACACATATACATACATACATATATACAGAGATACACAAACACATACATATATACACATACATATAATTACATACATATATACAGACAGACAGACACATATACACATATATACACATACACCTACACACACACATGCATACACATATGCATATATATGCTGCTCTTTACCCCTCGATCGTTCCACGGAGTTTGCAGGCATCAGATTTCTCAAGTGCTGCTCAGTGTGCAGATCAGAAAAAAACTGCAGATGCGTGTGCAAGAAGTAGTAAGCCGCTCACCTCATCAATGACTTTCCGAAGCGACTGCCGAAGTGCCCTCTCCCTCTTAAGAGCTGGTGAGAGAGCACTCCACACCCTCTCCAACGCAGGCGTGTCAGGTGCCACAAAGAAGCAGACGCTGCGCTGCTGCTCCAAGAGCATCTGCAAGAAAGTCGCTAGCGATTCCACCTTGACGTGACGCCGCTTTAAAGGCCATGCGGAGAGTTTGCAGTCTCCCAGCAGAGACGCAGAGTCGGCAGATGGAGGGAAAACTTTCAGTGAACTCCTGCCGTTGCCGCTAGAGGCGGCATCTGAATTTAGCCGCTGCTTCTTTTCGGGAGGGGTCTTAACCTCCTCCTGCTCTTCATCCCCACTTAAACTTGTAGACACGCTGCCTCCGCTGCTGCTGCTAGCGCTGTGAGCTGCAGAAGGAACGAAAGCAGGAGCAGGAGCAGGAGCAGCAGCAGCAGCAGACGCTGCCGCGGCAGCGGCTGCTGCTGCTTTCTGCAGGAGCAGACGGAGGGGCGAAGGATCACAGTGTGCCTCCACATACACCCGCGACACAGTGCCACTAGGATGCATGCATGCAAAATAGCGATTCAAATAGCGGTCCTCCCCAAGAGCTTCTGATCGCACCAAAAAGCAACCCTGCAATTTCTCCGCCTCAGCATTAGACACCCTGCCCATAGGCTTCCGACGCTGAGAGCGAGAAACAATGCCACCAGACGAAGAAGGCATTCCAGCTGACGCTCCTGCCTCGTCTGTACACATCCATATGCATTTACATAGGTACACATATATATACATACATATGTATACATACATATATACATACATACTTCTCAGGATAAATTAGCAGCTGGAGAGAGAGAGGCACTTGCATGCTTGCATCAAGACATCCTTACGTTCAGACATCGAAATTTAACATCCACGGAGCACCATCCAAAGCAGCAAGCAATGGAAGGCGACAGAGGGCCTGGCATGCAGGCATGTGAGGGAGGAAACAGCAGCATCACTCAGGGGGAAGATTGGGAAGCAATATGAATGCACAAAAGCGTGTAGCAGCGGCATCTCAACACACCCCAAAACACTGACAACTGCAGCATCAGCAGCAATAGTAACAGCACCAGCAGCAATAGTAACAGCACCAGCAGCAATAGTAACAGCATCAGCAGCAATAGTAACAGCACCAGCAGCAATAGTAACAGCACCAGCAGCAATAGTAACAGCACCAGCAGCAATAGTAACAGCACCAGCAGCAATAGTAACAGCACCAGCAGCAATAGTAACAGCACCAGCAGCAATAGTAACAGCACC